CGAATAGGGGGCGAATAGGGGGCGAATAGGGGGCGAATAGGGGGCGAATAGGGGGCGAATAGGGGCGAATAGGGGGCGAATAGGGGGCGAATAGGGGCGAATAGGGGCGAATAGGGGCGAATAGGGGGCGAACAGGGGCGAATAGGGGCGAATAGGGGCGAACAGGGGCGAATAGGGGCGAATAGGGGCGAACAGGGGCGAATAGGGGCGAATAGGGGGCGAATAGGGGGCGAATAGGGGCGAATAGGGGGCGAATAGGGGGCCAATAGGGGCGAATAGGGGGCGAATAGGGGCGAATAGGGGCGAATAGGGGCGAATAGGGGCGAATAGGGGCGAATAGGGGGCGAATAGGGGGCGAATAGGGGCGAATAGGGGCGAATAGGGGCGAATAGGGGCGAACAGGGGCGAATAGGGGCGAATAGGGGCGAATAATAGGCGAATAATAGGCGAATAGGGCGAATAGTAGGCGAATAGGGGCGAATAGGGGCGATTAGGGGGCGAAGAGGGGGTGACTAGTGGAGAATAGCTGGCGAATAGGGTGCATAGGGGGCGAATAGGGGCAAATAGAGGCGAATAGGGGCAAATAGAAGGTGAATAGGGGGCAAATAGCGGCGAAAAGGGCCGAATAGGGCCGAATAGGGCCGAATAGTGGGCGAATAGGGGCGAGTAGGGGAGAAAAGGGGCGAATAGGGGCAAATAGTAGGCGAATAATACGAATAGGGGCGAATAGGGGGCGAAGAGGGGCGAAGAGGGGGCGAATAGGGGCAAATACGGGCGAATAGGGGCCATGTGAACATCACAAGGAAAGATGGGGAGGAAATGGCCATGGCAAAGAGGGGGGAAGGAAAGATGGGGAGGGACTGGCCATGGCAAAGAGGGGGGAAGGGAAGATGGGGAGGGACTGGCCATGGCAAAGAGGGGGGAAGGGAAGATGGGGAGGGAATGGCCATGGCAAAGAGGGGGGAAGGGAAGATGGGGAGGGAATGGCCACGGCAAAGAGGGGGGAAGGGAAGATGGGGAGGGAATGGCCATGGCAAAGAGGGGGGAAGGGAAGATGGGGAGGGAATGGCCATGGCAGAGGGGGGAAGGGAAGATGGGGAGGGAATGGCCATGGCAAAGAGGGAAGATTTGGTCTGAAGAAGGCTCTCGAGCCGAAACCGGTTACCATCAATTTTTCACAGAGTTTTTCAAGCAAGCTCTCTACAAAATTTTAATTAAGCGTTTCTAGTTGCTGCCACGTAAAGACTTATGGCACCCATGTGATGTTCACATGGCCATGGCAAAGAGGGAACAAACGGGGGGAAAAGGGGAAGCGGTGGAGCATGCTGCCAGTGCTGCTTGGCACGAGCTCTGAACTGCCCCGGCCATGACAGCTCGACCTGCTGGGTCACTCAAATCAGAGTTGAATGCGAGGCGAATAGGGGGCGAATAGGGGGCGAATAGGGGGCGAATAGGGGGCGAATAGGGGCGAATAGGGGGCGAATAGGGGCGAATAGGGGCGAATAGGGGGCGAATAGGGGCGAATAGGGGGCGAATAGGGGCGAATAGGGGGCGAATAGGGGGCCAATAGGGGCGAATAGGGGGCGAATAGGGGGCGAATAGGGGCGAATAGGGGGCGAATAGGGGCGAATAGGGGCGAATAGGGGCGAATAGGGGCGAATAGGGGCGAATAGGGGCGGAATAGGGGGCGAATAGGGGCGAATAGGGGCGAATAGGGGCGAATAGGGGCGAACAGGGGCGAATAGGGGCGAATAGGGGCGAATAATAGGCGAATAATAGGCGAATAGGGCGAATAGTAGGCGAATAGGGGCGAATAGGGGCGATTAGGGGGCGAAGAGGGGGTGACTAGTGGAGAATAGCTGGCGAATAGGGTGCATAGGGGGCGAATAGGGGCAAATAGAGGCGAATAGGGGCAAATAGAAGGTGAATAGGGGGCAAATAGCGGCGAAAAGGGCCGAATAGGGCCGAATAGGGCCGAATAGTGGGCGAATAGGGGCGAGTAGGGGAGAAAAGGGGCGAATAGGGGCAAATAGTAGGCGAATAATACGAATAGGGGCGAATAGGGGGCGAAGAGGGGCGAAGAGGGGGCGAATAGGGGCAAATACGGGCGAATAGGGGCGAATGGGGGCGAATAGGGGCAAATACGGGCGAATAGGGGCAAGTAGTAGGCGAATAATAGGCAAATAGGGGGCGAATAGGGGGCAAATTGGGGGGAATAGGGACGAATAGGGGCGAATATGGCCGAATAGGGCCGAATAGGGGCGAGTAGGGGAGAAAAGGGGCGAATAGCAGGGGTCGAATAGGGGTGAATAGTAGGCGAAAAGGGGGCGAATAGGGACGAATAGGGGCGAATAGCGGCGAGTAGGGGCAAATAGGGGCGAATAGGGGCGAATAGGGGCGAACAGGGGCGAATTGGGGCGAATTGGGGCGAATGGGGGCGAATAGCGGAGAATAGGGCTACGTGGGAAAATTCGCCGAGACGTGAATACCCCGACCGCGAATTTCTCGTAATTCTCAAAACGTTGGGGGGAAATTTATTGGGCAGCGTGACAAGAAAACGAAAAAGACAGCACGAATTGGCGAAACCAATTTTGCTTTCGCAAGCCGCAATATCGAATTTTGAGCCTCCAAATGTAACTCAACCCCTCCAACCATCCCAACCACACCCCACACTTCTGAATAGAGGACGTAGCAGAGCTGCAGGACTAGAGCATGGGAGGGGCAAGGGGGGAGAGCAGGGGGGCATGGGAGAGGCTGAGGGGGCATGGGAGAGCAGGGGGGCATGGGAGAGGCTGAGGGGGCATGGGAGAGGCTGAGGGGGCATGGGAGAGGCTGAGGGGGCATGGGAGAGGCTGAGGGGGCATGGGAGAGGCTGAGGGGGCATGGGAGAGGCTGAGGGGGCATGGGAGAGGCTGAGGGGGCATGGGAGAGGCTGAGGGAGGAGGTGATGCAATAATGGAGGAGTGATGGCTTGACTTTGACCTCATGACAAGGCCAGATTTTGGCAGCTTAATATTTATTCAATGTTTTATTCTGTGTTTGGAAAATCTGTTGCACATCCCCCGTCCCCCCGCACCCCCTAAAAAATCAGGTAATTTGACTTTTGACCAGCCCAGGCAAAAAAAATCCCTGCCCAGGCCAGCGAATTTCAGTAGCGTTCCAGAGTCAGGTCCTAAGCATTCAGAGTATTTACGCTAGCATAAAGTCGCCAGCGTAATTACTCAAAATGCGAGTTTCCCCACGTAGGAATAGGGGCGAATAGTGGGCGAAAGGGGCCAACAGGGGCGAATAGGGGCCGAATACGGGCTGAATAGGGGGCGAATAGGGCCGAACGGGAGGCGAATAGAGGCGAACATCGGGCGAATAGGGCCGAATAGGGCCGAATAGTGGGAGAATAGGGGCGAGTAGTAGGCGAATAGGGGGTGAATAGGCGCGATTAGGGGCGAATAGGGGCGAATAGGGGCAAATAGTGGGCGAATAGGGGCGACTAGGGGAGAAAAGGGGCGAATAGGGGGCGAATAGGGGCGAACAGGGCGAACAGGGGCAAATAGGGGCGAACAGGGCGAACAGGGGCAAATAGGGGCGAATAGGGGCGAATAGGGGCGAATAGGGGCGAATAGGGGCGAATAGGGGCGAATAGGGGCGAATAGTGGCGAATAGGGGAGAATAAGGGCGAATAGTGGGAGACTAGGGGCAAATAGTCGGAGAATAGGGGGGGAATACGGGCAAATGGGGCAAATGGGAGCTAATAGTGGGAGAACGGGGGACGAATAGGGGCGAATAGAGGGCGAATACAGGGCGAATAGTGGCGAATAGGGGCGACTAGGGGCGAATAGGGGGGGAATAGGGGCGAACGGGAGGCTAATAGAGGCGAACAGTGGGCGAATAGGGCCGAATAGTGGGAGAATAGGGGGCGAATAGGGCCAATGGGCCCAATGGGAGCAAATAAGAGCGAATAGTGGGCGAATAGGGGCGAATAGAGGGCGAATAGGGGCGAAAAGTAGGCGAATAGGGGATGAATGGGCGCAATTAGGGGCGAATAGGGGCAAATAGTGGGCGAATAGGGGAGAGTAGGGGAGAAAAGGGGCGAATAGGGGGCGAATAGTAGGCAGATAGTAGGTGTATAGGGGGCGAATAAGGGCGAATTGTGGCGAATACGGGCAAATAGGGGCGAACATGGGCGAACAGGGGTGAATAGGAGCGAATAGGAGCGAGCAGGGGAGAAAAGGGGCGAATAGAGGGCCAATATGGCCGAATAGTGGGAAATAGGGGCGAATAATGGGAGGATAGGGGCGAATAATGGGAGGATAGGGGCGAATAATGGGAGATTAGGGGCAAATAGTGGGAGAATAGGGGGGGAATAGGGGGCGAATGGGGCAAATGGGAGCTAATAGTGGGAGAACAGGGGGCGAATAGGGGCGAATAGGGGCGAATAGAGGGCGAATAGAGGGCGAATAGAGGGCGAATTGGCGAACAGCGGTCTTCCTTTTCGCTCTCTAACCGCCAGCGCATGTTGTCGCCTTCAATTCCCTTTTTTTTTGCTCCACTCCTCCATTTTCGCTGCGCTATTCGCCCCGTGTTTGCAAAACGTGTCTCAAAATGCCCACTGCGCATCTAGTATGCCCACTGCGCATCTAGTATGCCCACTGCGCATCTAGTATGCCCACTGCGCATCTAGTATGCCCACTGCGCATCTAGTATGCCCACTGCGCATCTAGTATGCCCACTGCGCATCTAGTATGCCCACTGCGCATCTAGTATGCCCACTGCGCATCTAGTATGCCCACTGCGCATCTAGTATGCCCACTGCGCATCTAGTATGCCCACTGCGCATCTAGTATGCCCACTGCGCATCTAGTATGCCCACTGCGCATCTAGTATGCCCACTGCGCATCTAGTATGCCCACTGCGCATCTAGTATGCCCACTGCGCATCTAGTATGCCCACTGCGCATCTAGTATGCCCACTGCGCCTCTCACCATGCCCACTACACCTCTCACCATGCCCACTTCTTCCACGGAGTTGGCCACAAGAGGCAGGTTGAGCAGCCGTTTTGCTCCCGCCACTGTGAGCGCGATAGAGGACCCCAGGGACATGCGCGAGAACACGTTGCACTGGATCTGTGGGCGGGGCGGAGGGGGGTGAGCAGAGGTACGAATAAGGAGCTCTAGAGGCAGCTCCAAGACATTCAACTGCCGCCTGGCATTTGGCATTGTGAGCGATGCACGCGAGAGGAGGTTGCACAGGATCTGGGGGGGGGTAGGTGAGGGCGGGGGAGGGGGGGGAACGATAAGAGCTAAGGAGAAGGGGTTTCGACACACAACAAACAGTGAGCTTCACGGCACACACCACATTGTATTGGATGTGAGGGGAGTAGGGGAGGGGATTGGGACAAACTAGGGAGAAGGAGCTGTCAAGGTGGTCCCTTGAGCTAGTTCCAAAATCGGATTTCTCAACCTCTAGGCTTCTAAAAGTTTCAATGTTTTGACTTGCTGCGAGTCATGCTCCTGCAACTCCAAACCCTCTCTCATCACTAAATCCCAATGCGTACCCAAAACCCCTTGAGCGGGAACGCCCCAACCCAATTCTTCTCAGAGCAAGTGACGGTGTTGGCCAACTCAACGCGCTGGCCCTGCCACTCCACCCACCCTCCCCCCTGCATAACACGTCTCAAAGCTCGATTACTATCGCACAACCCCTGGCTGGATCGTACCCAGAACCACTTGAGTGGGAAGGCGCCACCCCAGTTCTTCTCAGAGTAAGTTACGGCGTTGGTGAACTCAATGCGGTGCCCCCGCCACTCCACCCACCCCGTTGCTCGCCCCAGGGCCATGCACACCTGAGGGGCGGAGGGAAGAGGGGGTCATGGGGGAGGGGCAGTAGGGGAAAGGAGGAGAAAGGCAAGAGAATCATTCAGTGAAGGCAACGCCGCCCCCCCGCCCCTCCACCCACCCCAATGCCCCCTGCCCATGGCCATGCACCCCTGCGGGGAGGAGAGAAGAGGGATTAGAGGGGTGAGGAGGGGCAGTAGGGGGGTGATGAAGGGCAGTAGGGGTGGTGATGAAGGGGAAAAGCAGCGGAATTAGTGAGTGAAGGCAACGCGGTGCCCCGCACTCCGCCCAGCCTGTTGTTCTGCCCATGGCCATGCACGCCTGCCCATGGCCATGCACGCCTGCGCGCAGGGTGCGGTCCGACGAGTGAGGAGGGGCATGTGGGATTGATGAGGCGGTGGTGAAGGGGGAAGACCACATCACCTGCCACATCACCTGCCACATCACCTGCCACATCACCTGCCACATCACCTGCCACATCAGCTCCATCTGGTCCTTCAAGCCCCACCATCCCACCTTCTGCCAACCTCACCTGCCACGTCAACCTCACCTGCCACGTCAACCTCACCTGCCACGTCAGCCTCACCTGCCACGTCAGCCTCACCTGCCAGTGTGGTTCGAAAGCAGGCAGGGCAGCCAGCCAACCAGCAGTTGACAGCTGTGTACCGCCCCTTGGTCCCCAGCCATCGATGGGAGTGACCTCGTACTGCCACCGCACTATGCTGCACGGGGGAGCGGTAGGACGGTGGGGCATTAAAGGTGCATGCATTGATGCCTTCACTCAATGATGAGAGTGCATGCATTGATGCCTTCACTCAATGATGAGAGTGCATGCATTGATGCCTTCACTCAATGATGAGAGTGCATGCATTGATGCCTTCACTCAATGATGAGAGTGCATGCATTGATGAGCACAGCACAACCCATGTGGAATGGAGCAGCGTTCAGACAGAGAACGGGTCCTGCAGCTCATCACCATGCTCTGCGCCACCATGCTCTGCGCCACCATGCTCTGCGCCACCATGCTCTGCGCCACCATGTTCTGCGCCACCATGCTCTGCATCGTAACCTTGTCCCATGGCATAACACCACCTGCCATCACCACCACCACCACCACCACCAGCATCACCTGCCATCGTGTTGGTCCTTGAGAATGCCTTGGTTCAGGAAAGGTGTAACCTGAAACCCGTGCTCCACTCTCCGCTCGAACTCCTGCCGTTGACAACACACATGTGAACAAGACACATACGCAAGTTTCAGCTATCCAAGCGGCCCCACAGGAGCCCAGGACGCGCAGCTCAGGCCCAAAAGAGCTGTCGACTGCACCCCTCCTTTCCCGCCTCCATGCATGCACCACCTCAGGTGGCACCTCCCCCAGGGGCGCCGTTTGCGCTTCCTTGCTGTGCAGCTTACACTAGATCTGCGCTCAATCCCTCCTGCCCCCACTCCATGCATGCACCCACCTGAGGTGGCACCTCCCCCAGGGGCGAAACTTGCCCTTCTCTGGGGCGGAAGCACGTGCCTAGCGCCAACTCGTGGCGTTCTGAGGGTTAGAAGGGGGGGGGGAGAGAAGAGGGGGGGGGGGGGGGGGGGTTGGGAGGTTAGCGTGGAAGAGGGTTAGGGCGGGGGGAAGGTTAAGGCGGAGGGGAGGGGACGTGAGAATGAGGGGGGGTGGAAGGGGTTACACGAGGTGCGGAAGGGCAAGAGCATGGATCGAGCATCAACGGTGGAGATGAAACTGGGAGTAAGTGGGGGGGGGGGTGTGGGAGAGGAGAAGGGAGAGGGGGGATTGTGGGGGGAGGGGAAGAGGAAGGGGAGAAGAGGGGCGGGAAAGTGTAGTTTTGAGGGTGGGTTGAGCGCCGTTCCCCACTTTCCAGTGTTCCGTTCCCCTCAAACGGCGGGAAAGTGTAGTTTTGAGGAAACGCCTCAAATCTGGAAAGTGGGGGACGGCGTGGGTTGGGGTTGGGTGGTGGGGGGGAGCGGATAAGGTAAGGGATACCTTCTCATCTCGCATCATCGATTCCTGGACCTTCTACTTCCATCCCGCCCCCGCCCCCGCGCCCCCTTACTAATCCCCTTCCTCCCCCGCCCTCTTATCTCCCCCCCCTCTCACCTCCCCAGAATCGCCCCGTGTCCGCCGTCTCTTGAAACACATAGTCCCGCGCGCCCCCCTCTCCCCCCGCGCCCCCCTCGCCGCTCCCCCACTCCGCCTGCCTCTCCACGGCGGGCCCCATCACCTGCATCATCACGCACGGCACCCCTCCCCCCGCCCGCTCCCCCTTCTTCCCCCCGGGGCAGGAGGCCGCGGAAGGGGCGGCGGGGGGAGGCGCGGAGGCGGAGGAATTTTCGACGGGGAGAGGCGCGGAGGGGTTTTCAACGGAGTACATCCAGGCGAAGGAGTCCCCCGGGACGCCGTGCGCGTCGGGCACGGTGACTTTAAAGTACCAGCCCTCGAAGAAGGGCGCCTCGCCGTCGCCGCCAGGGTAGTGGTACCCGCTGTGCGGCGTGCGACTCGGCCGTGCGACGGCCTGCGATGAAGCTGGCGAAGACTCTGGCCCCGCGGAGCTGCTCGCCCTGGGCGACGTCGCCGACGTCGCCCTGGACGCAATTGGCTTACGGGAACCTCCACTACCCCGCTGCAGCGAGTGACGGCGGTGGAGGTGACACTCTCGGTGGAGGCGGCATCTGGCGTCGCGCTGCTGCTTCTGCTGCGCGTGATGGTGCTGGCGGTACGATACGGCGCTGGTTACCGCAGCGGGTCGCCTTGGAGTTGCCGCGGTGGCTGCGGCTGGCACGGAGGACGCGGCTGCTGAGGCGGCCGGCATGGCGAGTGGCTCTGAGAGAGATCGGCTAGCAGGAGAAGAACGGCAGGGCAGGCGAAATCGAAGGCTAGTAAGACGGATTATGCGGGTCGATGCGCGAATTTGTGTGCGGTGGTCGACTTCAAGGTCACTAGGGCCAGGACGGTGCTCGAGTCACTAAATTTGAATGTGCATGTCGGTGGGCGACCAGCGCCACGAATGTCTAAAATGTCACAATGGCCCCCGATCGAGGAAATTTTATAATCGGACGGTTCTTACGTGTTCCCCGACCTCGACTGTCACGAAGTTTGTGGTCAGAATCGACCCACGCGAACCTAGATGCTGATGTGGCAGACCAACGATATTTGTAGACGGTGCCGCCCACCTTGCCTCACCGAATACACGCGCTATAGTTACACTAACTTCAGGCAATTTCGTTAACCGCGTTCGATTGTAGACAATCCGGCACTTGCCGCATTATTGATTGCGAGCTAGATACCCCTAATTTCAGGTCGTTTGAGAATTGCAACCAAACCAACCAATACTCACCCACAAAACATCTCATCATAATTTAGCTCATGAACTGTCCTCCATTTTCATCATTATGAATTGGCATCTGGTGAAGTTGGTGTGTGGTCCTGCCGGCATCAACAATCCCTTGCTTGTGGTTCACAAAGAAGTGCAGGCATACCAGGGGGATGAGGATGACCAGAAAGACATAGAGAAAGCTGGGCCGGATTTGACCCGTAACCTGCGAAGAATAGAGATGCACGCATGGATCGAGATGAGGATACCTGGTGGCTGTCCTGTTCAGAGCGGTGGAGTTGAGTGGAGAGGTATTGGGCATGGTGGTGAGATGGCTGTGCTGTGGGGTTCTAGAAAGAAGCAGCCATAGTGCAAGAAGGCGGGCATGCGGAGAGATACTGGGCAAAGTGAACACAGCAAAAGGAAAATGCTGTAACCAGGGGAATGGGGAGAAGGAAGAGGGGGGGGGGGGGGAGGGTGGTGGAGGGCAGAGATTGGAGGGGGAAAATGGCGGGAAGAAGAGCAGGACTGGCCCACCTGCACAATGATGGCGACGATGAACGGCCCCAGCCACGACGAGCCCTTATCGCTCACAGAATAGAGCGAGAAAAACGCCGCCTCACGCCCCACCGGTATCATATCAATGAAGAGCGTCCGCGAGTACGCGTTCAGCCCGCCCAGGAAGAACCCAAACCAGCAGGCGAACACAAACAGCTCCCAGGGGGCCTTGAGCCCCACGGTCTGGGGGCCGGTGAGGTACCCCAGCAGGCCCCAGAGGGGCAGTGGCAGCATGCCCGCGAGCATGAGCATCACCATGCGCTTGTTGGTCAGCACGGGGTGCAGCGCGCGCTGCAGGTAGAAGAGGAGAGGGGTGCAGAGCGTGGCGGCGACGGACACGCAGATGGCGAGGAAGACGAGCGTGGTGGTGGGCACGCACAGGTCGCGCTCGCCAAAGAGAATGCCGATCTGCAGAATGGTGGTGTAGCCGTCGGCGTAGACGAAGTAGCAGAGCAGGAAGGCGAACGCGTTGCGGTAGCGCCGGGCCTCGGCGAAGAGCTTGCCCATGTGGCGCCAGCCGGAGAAGGCGGAGGAGAAGAGAGAGGAGAGGAGGGCACACAGTTGGTGGCAGGAACGGCGGGAGGAGGAGGTGGAGGAGAGGGGGAGGGGGAGTGGTGGGAAGGGCGGGCCGGGGCGAGGATGGAGCCAGAGGAAGGTGGGGAAGGAGAGGAGCAGCCACCAGAGCGCGCAGGCTAGCATGGCCAGGCGCAGCTTGAGCGCATCAGAGGCGACGGGGAGCGTGGCGGCGAAGGCGAGGAGAGTCGCAAGGATGGAGGCGATGCTGGCACACGCCACGCCCGTGAGAGACATGCGGTTCTCTTCCTGGTGTGGGAGGGGGAGTAGTGGAGAGGAGGGATGGGTAGAAGGGGGAAGACGATGAGAGATGGACGGCAGGCAGCGTGGAAGGAGAGGAGAGCTGTGTGGAAGGATGGGCGCCATGCTGGCACATGCGACCCCGGTGAGTGACATGCGGTTACCCTCCTGGTGAGGAGGGGGGGAGGAGAGCGGAGGGAGCGGGGTGTGTAAGAGAACTTGCAAAGAGCCACAGGCGACAGGCAGCATGGCGAGGATGGAGGCAATGCTGGCACAGAGCACTCCCATCAGTACCATGCGGTTTATTTCACTGGTACGGGGACGAGGGTGCCAAGAGGGGGACGGAGGAATGGGGAGAGGAGAGAGCATCAGGAATGGGGAGTGGGAGGGGAAAGGGAATGCCTTACGTTGTTGGCATCACTCATGGCATCCCTCATGGCATCCCTCATGGCATCCCTCATGAGTGACGACGGCCTTGTGTTGAGATGCTCAATGAGAAGGCAGTGGCAGTGGCAGTAGTAGTGGCAGTGGCAGTGGCTGTGGTAGTGGCAGTGGCAGTGGCTGTGGTAGTGGCAGTGGCAGTGGCAGTGGCGATGCTCAATGAGAAGGCAACACTTGCTGCCATCACACAGCATAGTGACACAAGAACACAAGTCAAACAGCCACATATGCAGCTAAGCGAGGGGCAGTAAGAGCAACATCATAAGGCCCACCCACCTGATCCCTGGCAACAAGAAGTGGGGTTTGCAGGTCGTCTGTGTGCCCTCCACAGGAGCCCACGGCCACATATGACTCCGGACTGCCCTCCATGCCCGCGTGCACGAGCAGCCCTACCCCAGTCAGCACCTGCCCATCCTCTCCACTGGCCCCCTCTGCTGCTAGCCCTGCTTCCCCCCCCGCCTCTGCCCCTTTCCCTGGCTCCAAGCCGCCACCCATAGTGGCACCTGCGTAGCTTGCTTGTGCTGCGAGTTCTTCCTTCTGCGCTGACTCAAAAGCTGCCTCCGCCCTGCCGGCCATGGTGGCACCTGCGTCGCTGGCTTGTGCAGCGAGTGCCTCCACTGCGCGCTGCGCTTCCTTCAGCACTGGCGGGGATGCGTCCACAAGCACAGGCAGGAAGCTGGGGAGGGGAGAGGGGGAGAATGGGCGAGGAGACACGATGCAAGTGTGTGAATCGTGCGAAGACACACGATGCGCGTGCTTCGTGTCTGATGCGTGCTGCGCTGCCTTCAGCACCGCAGGGGATGCGTCCACAAGCACAGGCAACCCCAGCAACTTCAGCAACCCCAGCAACCCCCACAACCCCCGCAACCCCCGCAACCACAGCAGCCCCTGCAACCACAGCAGCCCCAGCAACCCCCGCAACCCCAGCAACCCCCGCAACCCCCGCAACCCCAGCAACCCCAGCAACCCCAGCAACCCCAGCAACCACAGCAACCCCAGCAACCCCCGCAACCCCAGCAACCCCAGTAACCCCAGCAACCCCAGCAACCCCCGCAACCTCAGCAATCCCAGCAATCCCAGCAACCCCAGCAATCCCAGCAACCCCAGCAGCAGCCATGTATGAAGGAACCTTACTGCAAAATACTTACTGTGTGACAGCACAGGCAGCTGTGACCGCCGCAAACGACCCCTTACCATCATTGGCCTACCATTGGTGTGCGTACATCCCCTCACCTGTAGTTAGCGACAATTGTGAGCCCATAGCCCACATTGGTGATGATGGGGAGCAAACCCGACAGCCACCAGAGGGGAAGACAGGAAATGTGTGTGAGTGCGAACGACCCTCACCTGTAGTAGGCGACTATGGCTAGTCCGTATCCCACGTTGGCGACGATGAGGAGCACACCCGAGAGCCACCAAAGGGAGGGCGACACGAGAGCCATGCAGAGCGCACAGGCCGTGATGCCCACTGCTGTGCCGCCCTGCAGGAGCTGCGAGGGAGGGGGAAGAGAGAGAGAGAGAGTACCCTCTGGCCCTTAGTATTTAGAGCTCTCACCCCTTTCATTTCCTTGTTTTAGTTTTCGGTTCTTCTTTTCTCCTTCCCTTGGTGGCGGCTCGCGCCGGCGGCCTTCGGCCGCCGCCGCTCGCAGCGCGGCCTGCGGCCGCGCGTTCGGAGACGGCAAGGACTCTCCATTCAGCAGGCAACAAAAACAAGCAATGACAACCCCTGCCACGCACACACTCTAGAGTCTACCTATCCTAGAGGCATGGAGAGCCTCATCCGCCGAGCTGAGAGGCTCTCGCTGGTGGGCACGTCGCCTACGCGCACATATTCACGGAGGATGCCCATCACGCGACCTGATCAGCCCCAGCCTCCTCGAGCAGGGCCGCCACATAGCCCACCAGGAGCTGGAGCGCTGACACGACGCCGCCAACGATGTCTACAGCTGCGGCCGAGTCTATGCTCGCCGACACGGCTCGCACCACGACGAGCAGGCGGGGGTCCAACACGGTTCCCGGGGCGGGCACAGGCTGCACTCGCGTCGACACGACAGCGAGATCAGCTGCTGCCATCGCACAGCGATGCAGGGGGTCGTGAGGCATCCTGCACGGGCTCGCTAAGCTCCGTAGCACGGAGTGTGAGTCCGCCAGCATCTCCACTGCGATCCCCATCGCCCGCCGTGCGTGCCACAGCCGACAAAGCGTGGCGACTGGGACCGCCGTCTCCGCGGGCCGCCCCCGCCCTCGCAGCCGCTCCATCTGCAACCTCGGCGGCATCCGCAAGCCGCCCGTGCGGCGCTGCTCCGACTCCCGGCGTGGAGATCCCTCACCCGGGGAATCCGCCCCCCCAATCTCCACTGACTCTGCCCCCCCCTCAACTCCAGTCGCCGACGCCAGAGCCTGCCGGGGGGGAACAAACGGCCCAGCCGCCCGTGTGTCAAAGGACAGCGGGGCCAACGGCGGTTGCTGAAGCTGGCCAACGTGCCAGCCCATCGCCGAGGTCTCCGGCGGCGACGGCTGCCAGCTCGGCAGCGTCCCACCGTCGGAGCTGCCGTCGGCGCAGCCAGCGGACGCGACGGGCAGTGAGGGCAGGATAGCGGCGGGGGCTGGTACGGGGGGACAGGGAGGTGAGGAGGCTTAGGGTGCTGCAACGGGGGCGGGGGCTGCTGCGTTGCGGACACGGGGGGAGGAAGGGACTGAGCCGTCATCTGCGGGGGGACGAACGGCGACGGGTTCGCGTGCACGGACGGAATTGGCTGCGGAACGCTCGCGGGCGCCAGTTGAGGCGGAGCAACCGATCGGAGCAAACTCTCCAACGTTGCGGCGGCGCGGCCCAGCCGCCTCTCTGCGGCTGTCCCCCGACTGTTCCCGCCGCCAGACCTCCACCCGCGGCGCTGGCCAGACTGCCCACGCTGCCTCTGAGGCGTCCGGTGCTGCTGAGTGGGCAGCGCCTGAGCGGCACGCTGGGGCGTCCCTCGGCGCGACAAGGCCAGCTGCGGCGGTTGCTGCTGCAGCCGCGGTGCTGAACCATGCTGGCCACTGCCCGCTCGCTCAGGGGACTTCCGCTCTCGCCGCTGAGGGGTTGAGTGGCGGCTTCCCGACCGCCCAGGCATGCGCTCCGGGGACTGCTGACGGCTCGCTGACGGGGCGGCGACACTGCGCTCCCAGTCGTGGTCCGACTGCAGCGGATGGTTCGGTCGACCTCGGCGGGGGACGCTCTCCCCCGTGCTCTCCAAATCGCATGAGCGCTCGCGGCGGGGACGCTCCTCTCTCCCCGCTTCCGGGGGGGGTTCATCGAGGGCTCAACGGCCTCCTACGGCCTCGCCCGCACGACGGACCGGAAGGCGCCTGTCGTGCGGAGAGACAGAGGGACGCGGCGGAAGCAGGGTGTTTTTGAGAATTCTCAAAAACACCCTGCAAAATCAGAGGGACGCGGCGGAAGCAGGGTGTTTTTGAGAATTCTCAAAAACACCCTGCAAAATCAGAGGGACGCGGCGGAAGCAGGGACGGCAGCACCGGGGTCCGGGGAGGCCGGGGGCGCGGACGTGGTCGAGGCCGGGCGGGAGCCTTAGCACGGGATGGCGGCCCAATGAACGGATTCCAACAAGCTGCGAACAGGGCTTTAAGGGAGAGGGGGCTTGGAGAAAGAACTGACGAGGAAGAGAGGAGAGACAGCACCTATATACCGGAGGTGCTCCACGAATCATCCACAGAGGAGTCCACTGATACATTGGAAGAACGGGCACCACCTCGTCGACGAGGCGGGAACCCATCCCCATCTCCCAAATCTCGCGGACGAGGACCTGCTGGCACCCAGACCGCTCAGGTACAGCAGGACTCTCCCGCCCAGGCGGCCCGGGGGACGACGCGAAATGACCCCAGTTTTGGGCCGGGAAACCAGCGAGCTGCGCGTAACACCCGTGCCACTGATACGCAGTCAACCCAGACACAGCGGCAATTTTCACCAGAGGAGCTGTCGTCCAACGAAACTCTGTTCGCCGGGGTGGCGGGATGGGACATCGACCTGCTGTTCGACAGTCGCCAACCCCCGATTTCCCGCAGGATCCCCCCCAAACTTCGCCAGCTCTTCGCTCTGGCACTTCTAACACCTCTACTCCATATCGCTCACAGGCCAACCAGCCTCGCTGGTTGGCGTCTGTTTCTTTTCGTCCCTCGCCTAACCCTTCGCCTGCATTCGCCCAAGCACCCTGATTGGGCCGCAGTGGAAAAACGACTGCAGCAGTTCCTGGCGGGCGCATGGCAACTGCTGTACCTGTCAGCAATCGACGCCGTGAATACCCCCCCCGCACCTCGCCACATGGCAGACTCCATAGGCAGGCAAACTCGAGCGGAGGGGCTTGTCCGCCGTGGCAGTCTCAGACGCGCCCTACTGGCACTTGATTCAACACCAGTCAGCGCTTCAACCCCCGACGTCCTCGAAGCGTTGAAGTCCAAGCACCCCGCCCCGCTGACTGAGTCAATCGCCTGGCCCGTCCTCGACGAATCGGAAACGAGCCCCACATTCTCGCAAGCTGAGTTCATCCGGTTACTCAACCGTTGCGAGAACGGGGTGGGCCTTCAAAAATGTGTTCAAGCACATTCGCGAGGCTGCCCTCGCCAACGGAACGGTGGCCAGCAGACTGTACGCGCTCACAATCCGCCTGCTAAAAGGGGACTCCACCGCCGAAATTGCATCCCTCCTCACTGCCAGCCGCCTCATCGCTTTTCCTAAGCCCGGGGGCGGCACGCGACCCATCGCCATAGGCGAATGCCTGCATCGCCTTGTGGCGAAGGCGGGCCTTCTCACCGTGACGGAGCAGGCGCATACCCACTTCTTACCTCTGCAGTTCGGGGTAGCAGTACGAGCACGCGGCGAGGCGATCATCCATGCAGCGCGCGCCTACACAACTGAATTCCCCGCTGCCCTTGTACTCCAAGTCGACCTATCGAACGCCTTCAACAGCGTCGATCGGGCCGCGATAGTCGCAGGGCTCTTCAACTCACCCCTCCGACCACTACTCCCCTTCGTCCAGCTCTCGTACGGCGCCCCATCACGCCTCTACCTCGACGCAGGCTTCAACAGCGGGCCACTCCTCAGTGCCCGAGGAGTCAGACAGGGGGACCCGATGGGTCCCCTGCTCTTTGCGGCAGCCATGCACCCGGCGCTTCAGGCGACAGCCTCAGCGTTCCCTAGCGTTCTCTGCCTCGCGTATGCCGACGACATCACGCTACTCGGAGAGCCATCGGCATGCGCGGCGGCGTTCACACACCTCACAGAGGCCCTACGCCCCTTGGGCCTCACGCACAACCCCTCTAAGTGCGCGGCTTGGTCGGCCTCCCGGCCTCCCAGCTCCATGCTCCCACCAGGCATCCCCCTCAGCGCCGACGGGCTGCGCGTCCTCGGGAGCCACATCGGCCCCCCCGAGGCAACGGCCGCTTTCCTTCAGGAGCAGCTGGCCGACATGGCCAGACCGCTACCTGCCCTGGCAAACATGGACCCCCAAACCGCCGGCCTCCTCCTCCACCGCTGTGTCTCGCGACGAGTGTCCAACCTCACCCGTACCACCCCTCTCAATCTGCTACCCGCCGAGGAATGGTCTCGGTGGGGCCAGGAGCTCTTCCACACCCTGCTCCACTCGTGCAATCTCCAGCTCCCACGGGGAGAGCGGGAACTGTCGCGCACGTGGCAGCAGGCCTCTCTGCCCCCCTCCCTTGGCGGCCTAGGCCTCACAGACCCCGCAGTGGAGGGCCCGCACGCCTTCCTCACCAGCGTCACACCCAACGGCTGTTGGTATCCCTCCCATCGGACCCGACCGGTCCGCTCGCAGCAGCGGCGTGCTCCCTGGCCCCCCCATTTAACGGCCCGACCCCCCTCCACTCCTGGCTGATGGAGTGCGAGGAGTCCCTCCCAGCCCCAGCCCTGGCGCTCCTGCAGGCCGAGCGGGCTGATGCCTCTAACGAACCTCTCCAGCATCGGCTGGCCCTGGAGGTGCACGCAGCCCGCTTCGCCCGCCAACTGGCCGCCTCAAGGGAGATGGAACTCAACCCCCTCAGCGGCCACACTCAAAGGTTTCTCTCACTCACCGGGTACGGCGCCGGTGACTGGCTCCTCGCCATCCCCCTATTCCCCTCACTCCGGCTGGCGCCCCCACACTACGCCATAGCCCTGGCCTTTCGTATGGGCCTCCCTTTCCCTGCACCCAGGGTCTGCAACTGCGCCAAGAGGGTGGCGATCGAGGACCCACGTCTCCCAAATCACCTATTTCGATGTGGGACTGGGCACGGCCGCACCGACACACACAATGCACTCCGCGACGAATGCATTCGCATGGGGAGGGACGCGCAGCACATAGTCACAAAGGAAACCGCGATTTACAACCCTGTCGACGGCAAGACCGCTGACCTGGCTGTGCGCAACCGGGACTCAGGGGCGGTCTGAATCTGTGACGTCACCGTCACCGACCCAGTGAGCTCACGGGACCCGCTGGCGCGCAAGGGCCGGGGATATATGGCCCGGGAGCAGGCCGATAAGAAGATCGACGACTACCGCCACAGGGCAGCATACGTCGGATTCTTCCCACTCGCGGTCGAGACGTACGGCTGCCCTTGCGCCGAGGTGCCAACTTTCCTAAAACTCCTGGCACACTCGGTCGCCCGCCGCCTTTTCAACGCCGACCCCAGCTCCAACCAGGCGGCAAAACTGCTAATCCAGTTCCGCCAGCGCTGGTCTGTCACCCTCCAGAGGGGACAAGCCCTCACCTACCTCGAAAAGGTGAATGAGGCTTCGCCACTCGAGTGGCCACCCCTCGGTGCGCCTGAGGCGGGCATGTTCCTAGGGGACTGCTTCGCTATCATAGAGCACCCTAGGGAATAGCCATAGGCTAGAAGCTCGGCCAGAGGTATCATACTTGCTTGTACCCTCCTTATATGCCTCGCCTGTACCCAGGATTTCCCAGCAATGAAGGACCGTTCGAGAGAGACAGAGAAAGTGGATGAGAGGCATGGGCAGAGCGCACAGGCCGTGATGCCCACTGCTGTGCGCATCATGGCCCCTGCAGGAGCTGCGAGGAGCAAGAGAGGGAAAGAGGGATTCGCATAGCGGGTGAGGATAATTGAGGGGGCGTTGAGAGGCATTAAGACTGGCCTCCAGCTGTGCTGTGGGCATGCAGACTACGAGGGTATGGCATGCCATGCAGAGCATGGCACATATGGCTTTTGTGTACTCGACCATGCATCCAGCACACGACCATAGCGACCCCTCGCCCCTAACTCCCTCCCTCTGCCCATCCTCCTCCCCCCCTCCCTCTCACACCGTGAAACGACTCGTCGTTACTGCGACCTCATCCCCCCTCCTCCTCTCATTATAAGACCCCCTTCTCATTCGATGCCTACCCGCATCATCCCCCCATCCATCCAACTCCCATCCGACCCCATCCAACCCCCATCCACCCACCCGCATCCACCCCGTGCCATAGTCTGCGAGTGGCCTCAGCGAGAGTAGCGCACACCCACCCACCCCCATCCGGCCCCCTTCCACCCACCCCCACCCTCCGTCGACCCACCCGCATCCGCCCCATGCCATAGTCCGCCAGTGGCCCCAGCGTGACAAAAGCGATGACCTGGCACACCACGGAGAGCCCCAGCGTGACTGTAGCGAAGGCCACCGGGTCAATGCCCGCGCCCCCCCACAGGTGCACCTTGGGGTTGGGCAGCGGCGAGTACCTGGGGAGAATGGAGGGGAGGAAGGGGGTGGAAGGGGGAGGAAGGGGGAGGAAGGGGGAGGTAAGGGGAGGTAGGGTCAGGAGGCGGAAACAAGGGTCCGAGTATAAAAAAACAGAGAACTTGATTGATTAAAATGAGCAAGAGCATACATCCTTAAGTACCGAGCATCGGAGAGGATGGCAAGGGATAAGGGAGAATCGAAGGGAATCCCAAGGGAATCCTCCCAAATCGTGGGGATTTGGGATGGATTGGGTTGGGATAGGTTGGGGATGAAAACATAGCTACACCCAACCTAACAAATTTGTGTATCCCTAAAACCAACAAAGTGCCAACACACAAAGTTGTGTTAACCGAATTGCAGCCTATCTCTAACACACCCCCTAGGCTGCAACGTCGGAAGCCGTAGAGACACCAAGTCCCATGGTACGGAGGAGACGATAGTGATCACGGCGTCCAAGAGCCTTCGTAAACAAGTCGGCGAGGTTGCAGTCAGAGGAAATATGCTTGACGCACAACTGCTCTCGCTGGACGAGCTCGCGCATGAAGAAGTGTCTCAATTCGATATGCTTGGTTCGTTGGTGGAAGACAGGGTCTTTGGTGAGGTGGATGGTGCTCTCGTTATCACACCACAGAGTTGGGGTCTGCTGAGGATACCCGAGCTCAGCCATGAGGTAGGTAAGCCATCGAGCTTCTTGGGCTGCCATGGTGCCTGCGTATAGCTCAGCTTCGCAAGATGACAATGAGACGGATGATGAGCGTGTAGATCGCCAGCTGATGACACCACTGCCAAGGGTGAAGCAATAGCCTTGGGAAGAGCGGCGGTCAGCTTGATCATCAGCCCATGAGGAGTCACTGTATCCCTCGAGGTGAGGAGGGGTCGTGCCACCGAGAGTGAGGACGTAGTCCTTGGTGGCTTGGAGGTAGCGAAGGACGCGCTTAGCAGCCGACCAGTGGCGATTGGTGTATCGACCGGCAGCAACGTAACGCGAGAGCACACTGATGGGGTAGGCGAGGTCGGGCCTTGTGCACATCATCGCATACATGAGTGATCCGACGAGCTCGGGGTATGCCTCATCACAAGGCTCAGGCGATGGAACTGATGGAGTGGTCAGATCATGCTACAAGGGAAGGGGAGTGGCCACTGGCTTGGCGTTGTCCATGGCAAAACGCTTGAGGACGTTGTTCACATAGAACTCTTGAGAGAGAGTGATGGTTCGAGCTTCGCGATCACGCGAGATTTCCATCCCAAGGTAGTTCTTGAGTTCCCTGAGGTCCTTCATGGCGAGAGCATCCCCAAGAGCTTGCTTAACAGCTGCCAGCTGATCGGAGTTCTTGGAGACGAGAATCATATCGTCAACGTACACGAGAATGAAGAACGGGTTCTCGTTCTTGCGAATGAAGAGACTCGGATCGGCTGAGGAGGGGTGGAAGTCGAGTGACTCGAGGGTTGCCTTCAGCTTCTTGTGCCATTCCCGAGGAGCCTGCTTCAACCCGTAGACTGGTCGATTCAGCTTCCAAACCGTGCCGGGTGGAAAGGGTAAGGGAAATCCTTGAGGACGCTCCATGTAGATGTCCTCGGGGAGATCCCCTTGGAGATATGCAGCAGAGACGTCCATGGAGTGAATGTCAAAGTTGCATCGAGCAGCGATGTCCAGCAGGGTCCGAAGCGTGGGCAGGTTGGCTGTCGGAGAGAATGTGTCGAAGAAGTCCAGGCCCTTCTTCTGCGTGAAGCCTTTTGCACAGTATCGTGCCTTGAAGACTGGGAGTTCGCCAGGCAGCTGCTTGACGCGAAAAACCCATTTCCCACGGACAATGTTAACTCCTCGCGGAGGAGAGACGTCCGTGAAAGAGTTGTTGCGAATGAATGCTTCACACTCCGCGATCATGGCTGCGAGCCACTGGGGGGAGTGTGGTCCGGAGATGGCTTCATCATACGAGTTCAGGGTTGGAATAGATGGATTTTCCGAGAAGTTAAGAGTTGGAGAGTCGGCAAGATCGGGGAAAAGATGGCAGAGCTGACGGATGGCAGCATTGATCTCGATCAGCTCCTCATGCCTATCCTCCAAGAGGCCAGGCATGGATGCACCCCCGGCAGGAGGAGGCGGATCGAAGGAGATGCGAACAGAGAGGGCGAGAGGCGGAGCGGGACCATGAGAGCGGGTGCGGTGAGCAATAGGGACAGGAGAGGAGGGAGGTGGTGGGGGAGCAGGTGGGACGTCGACATAAGAGCGTCCGTGGCGGCGGCGACGATATGTGATGGGCGAGTCAGGAGGAGAGGTCGAGGTCGGAGGCGGAAGCGGAGGTTAAGGCGGGGATGGAGGTGCAAGGGCAGGGGGAGGGGCAGCTGCAGGAGCGGGTGCGGGGGGAAGTGCAGGCGCGGGCGGAGGTGAACGGGCAATTGAGCCAGTGGGCGAAGAGGGGTGAGAGAGAGTGGAAGGAGATGGTGGAGGTGAGAGTGAGGGGGCCGCAGGAGGAGCGGCAGAGGGAGGAGGTGGAGAGGGTGAGGTATCGAAATCGGCCCACACAAGCGAAGGTGGAGCGGTGGTGGGTGGTGAAGAGAGGTAAAAAGGGCGACTCTCGTCAAAGGCGACATCGCGGCTACGAATGAGCTGATTGGTGGAGGGATTGAGGAAAAGGTAATCGGGAGAGTCCAGGTTGTGGCCGAGGTAGACACAGGGTTGAGCTTTGGGTGCAAATTTGCCGCCATGGGTGCGACGTTCCTGAGGGTTGAGGAGGACATAAGCGGTACACCCCCATACGCGGAGAGCACGTGCACTGGGCTTGGTGCCGGTCCACAGTTCAGCGGGAGTGATGGCAGGACGAAGAGGGTGAGGGTGAAGGTTGTACAGCAGCGTGGCATGAAGGAGGGCGTAACTCCAAAGTGAAGGTGGTGCACCAGCGTGAGTGAGAAGAGAGCGAGCGATTTGCACGAGAGTGCGATTGCGACTTTCAGCAATGCCATTCTGCTGCGGACTGTGGGGAAGGGTGAAGGTCTGGCAAATGCCTTGGGAGGCACAGAACGCTTGAAGGGAATGGTTTCGAAATTCGCCACCGCCATCGGAATGGAGGCACTTGACTGAAGCGCGGAAATGATTTTGGGCTTGTCGAACCCATGCGATGACGACATCGGGAACAGCTGCTTTGGAGGAGAGGAGGTGGACGGACGCATAGCGAGAGTGATCGTCAACGAGCACTAGGAAGTAAGAGTGCCCGCCACGAGAGCGTAGTGGAGCTGGGCCCCAGACGTCCATGTGGACGAGGTCAAGCGGGGCGGCTGCAGCGGAGGGCGAGGAAGGGTGAGGCAGCTGGCGTAGTTTGCTTTGCTCGCAGTCCAAGCATGGAGGAGCGGGAGAAGTGGCGGGTGGAGGAAGTGTGTCGGGCAGGTGAAGAAGCAACTTCTTAGACGCAAGTTCGGAGAGGATGCGGAAGTTGGGATGCCCGAAACGATGGTGGTAAAGAATGGTTGGGTCGGTGAGTTGACGGCAGGGGCATGATGATGTGGTGGAGGTAGAGTGTGCTTCAGTGGAAGATGGAGGTACTTGGAGTGTGTAGAGGTTGTTGGCGGTCAGTATGAAGCGTGCAAGGAGGGCATTGTTGGTGGGATCAAGGAGATCACAATGATTGGAATGAGCTGGGAAGATAATGGTTACCCCTGCTCGTTGAATCTCATGTTGTGCAAGTAAGTTGTGCCGAAGAATGGGCACGCATAGGCCAGTGACTGTGCCAGATGGGAAGGCTGGGCATGGAAGAGTGGAGGAACCATGGGCAACAGTTGTGAAGCTGGAGTCAGCGCCCAGGAGAGGAATGGGTGCTTGGTATGGTTTGAAAGACTCTTTGTCTCGGAGGATTGTGTGGGTTGCGCCGCTATCCAGGACGAATTCAAGTGGTTCGGATGGTGTTTGTGGAGACGCCGAGTACTGGGAACTGGTTTCATTGATCATGGGAAGGCCAGGGAACAACAGGTTGAGACGAACATCAGGACTAGGGGCATGAACGGCTGAGTCCTGACTATCATGTGCCTCAACATGGTTGAGCTGGCGCATGCGAAGCCAGTTGGGCGACTTGGAGTTGATACCATTCTTGGCGAACCAGTCGTCGTCCTTCTTCTTGAAGCAGGTGGCGAGCGGGTGATTGGTGCCGCCACACACCTGACCCGCACGGGGTCCCATCTTGATGACGTAAGGACAGGGTGGGTAGCGGTTACGAGTGGGTGGCGGATTGGGACGCGATGCTGGAGCCGGGACAGGAGCGCGAAGCGCATTTGCACGAGCCTGCGCAGTGTTGTCTTTTCAGCAGAGAGAAGTGCGAAAGAGACTTTGGCAAAGGTTAGCTCTTCTGGCGGGAGATGGAGAAGCATGGAGCGGGTGACATTGTAGGACGGGGTTAGCCCAACAAGCAAAGCTGCTGCAGGGGCTTGCTCTGGGAAGACAATGCCGAGTTGCTTCAGCTCCTGATGAATCCCTTGAATCTCAGCGACGTAATCTGCCATTCCAGGGCACTCCTCCAGACGCACTTGAAACATGCGGGGGATGAGTATCGCCACCCCCACAGCGGTTTTGTTGAGGAAGCGGTCGTTGAGGTGCTCCCAAATGGCGTGCGCGGAGGGGTAGTTATGGTAAGTTTTGACGAGCTCGGAAGGGGTAGTGCCGACGAAGACGCCAATGATAGTGGCGTCGGCTTGCTCCCACACGCTGTAAGATTCCTCATACTTGGACATGGATTCCTCGTGCGCTTTTGACTCTTCCTCTGTGGCCGTGGCCGAGAGTTTCTTGGGAAGGACCAGCATCTTTCATTTGCCGCGATTGAGGAGGACATCCTTGAGGCAAATCCCCTCAATCTTGCGGCTTAGGAGATGCTTGTCAACCCCATAGCTCCACTCCTTGAAGTTAGGGCTTGAGCCATTTGCGTCGAGGCGCAAGGGAGTGATCGGGTTTGAGAGAGACGCGGAAGGGTACGCCATGATGCTCCAAGGACCCTAGCTCCGCGCGAAGCGCAACTCTTAAGTCGCCGATAGGCACTTCGGGCTGCGCGCAGCGCGGGCTCCGCGAAAAACCAGATTTTCTTTTGCGGATTTTCAACGCTCGGGGAGCGAAAATGGCCGAGTAAGAAGGAAATCTGATCGCCGAAATCTATACAAATTCTCGATATGCTGCTGCAATCCCGCTGCTCCGCGACCACCCCCCCTTTCCCTTTTCCGCTTCGCCGCTGCCCCCTTTCCGCTTCGCCGCTGCCCCCTTGTCCGCTTCGCCGCTGCACCCCCCCGCTGTTGCAAGGGCGACGGGCGACAGCCCGTCCAGCTTCGACGAGCAGATGCGGGGCGACGGGCTCAGCCCGATCAGGTGCGACGAGCAGATGCGGGGCGACGGGCTCAGCCCGATCAGGTGCGATGAGCAGATGCGGGGCGACGGGCTCAGCCCAATCAGGTGCGACGAGCAGATGCGGGGCGACGGGCTCAGCCCGATCAGGTACGACGAGCAGATGCGGGGCGACGGGCTCAGCCTGATCAGGTGCGACGAGCAGATGCGTGGCGACGGGCGTCAGCCCGAAGAAAAGCGCCGCGCTGAGTTGAGGCGACTAGAAATGCTTTGCGTCGTAAGACGCAAACGCTAAGCTCCAACGGAGCGAGAGGATCAAGAGCCGCTTAGGCGGAAACGAGCTTTGATACCATATAAAAAAACTGAGAACTTGATTGATTAAAATGAGCAAGAGCATACATCCTTAAGTACCGAGCATCGGAGAGGATGGCAAGGGATAAGGGAGAATCGAAGGGAATCCCAAGGGAATCCTCCCAAATCGTGGGGATTTGGGATGGATTGGGTTGGGATAGGTTGGGGATGAAAACATAGCTACACCCAACCTAACAAATTTGTGTATCCCTAAAACCAACAAAGTGTCAACACACAAAGTTGTGTTAACCGAATTGCAGCCTATCTCTAACACCGAGCCCGCCCCAGGAGACAGCTGCTCTGCTCCTGGGGATTGGGCAGCGGCGAGTCCCTAGAGGTGGGGCGGGCGGGGGAGAGGGGTTGGGGGGAGGGGAAAGGGGGCTCCTGGTGGTTGGGCAGCAGCGAGTACCTGGGGGGGAGCGGGGGGGGAGGGGGGTTAGAGGGAAAGGGGGGAGGGGAAGGGAGGAGCAGGGTGGCAGAGAAAGAGGGTGAAAGGAGGGTCAGCGCCCGCACCCGGCCACAGTTGCAAGTTGGGGGGTTCGGCAGCCGCGAGTACCTAAGGGTCCGGCGGTGGGGGGTGGGGGAGGGAGAGGTAGGTCCAGCAGAAAGGGAGGTATGCTCCAATGCCTGTCCTGGGCCACAGCCGCATCTTGGGACCAGGGCCTATGTTTGACGGGCAATTGCCCGGATTTTGATTCTTTAACCAGCCGATTTGAACCTGAACTCCCTTTTTGACGGATTCGGTTATCTCTAAACCCGGGGGTTAATGGGTCGATTCTGGCTCGAAAACGGGCTGTAAACGTAGGTTTTGAGGGATTTTGGCTGGAAAATGGATTTTTACGAGGACGACTTTGGCGGAAAACGGACTTTAACGGGTAGCTCTGGTAGGGAACCCGGATTGGACGAGTGGCTAAAAAACCAATCCGAAGCCCTGCTTGGGACCGGCCAGCAGCGAGTAGCTGAGGGGTTGGGGGGGGAACGGTTTGGAACAGGGAAGCAGGTTCAGGGGGGCGGGGAAGGAAGGGTTGGTGCCCTGCCCAGACCACAGCTGCACTTTGCGGTTGGGCAGCGGCAAGTAGCTGGGGAGAGGGCAGAGGGACACACTAAGAGGCGGGGGTAACTGAGGGAACGGGAGTGAGGCACGGGAGTGAGGCACGGGAGTGAGGCACGGGAGTGAGGCACCGGAGTGAGGCACGGGAGTGAGGCACGGGAGTGAGGGACGGGAGTGAGGGACGGGAGTGAGGCACGGGAGTGAGGGACGGGAGTGAGGCACGGGAGTGAGGCACGGGAGTGAGGCACGGGAGTGAGGCACGGGAGTGAGGCACGGGAGTGAGGCACGGGAGTGAGGCACGGGAGTGAGGCACGGGAGTGAGGCACGGGAGTGAGGCACGGGAGTGAGGCACGGGAGTGAGGGACGGGAGTGAGGCACGGGAGTGAGGCACGGGAGTGAGGCACGGGAGTGAGGCACGGGAGTGAGGCACGGGAGTGAGGCACGGGAGTGAGGCACGGGAGTGAGGCACGGGAGTGAGGCACGGGAGTGAGGCACGGGAGTGAGGCACGGGAGTGAGACACGGGAGTGAGACACGGGAGTGAGGGACGGGAGTGAGGGACGGGAGTGAGGCACGGGAGTGAGGCACGGGAGTGAGGCACGGGAGTGAGGCACGGGAGTGAGGCACGGGAGTGAGGCACGGGAGTGAGGCACGGGAGTGAGGCACGGGAGTGAGGCACGGGAGTGAGGCACGGGAGTGAGGCACGGGAGTGAGGCACGGGAGTGAGGCACGGGAGTGAGGCACGGGAGTGAGGCACGGGAGTGAGGGACGGGAGTGAGGGACGGGAGTGAGGCACGGGAGTGAGACACGGGAGTGAGACACGGGAGTGAGGCACGGGAGTGAGGGACGGGAGTGAGGCACGGGAGTGAGACACGGGAGTGAGGCACGGGAGTGAGGCACGGGAGTGAGGCACGGGAGTGAGGGACGGGAGTGAGGCACGGGAGTGAGACACGGGAGTGAGGCACGGGAGTGAGGCACGGGAGTGAGGCACGGGAGTGAGGCACGGGAGTGAGGCACGGGAGTGAGGCACAGGAGTGAGGGACGGGAGTGAGGCACGGGAGTGAGGCACAGGAGTGAGGCACGGGAGTGAGGCACGGGAGTGAGGCACGGGAGTGAGGCACGTGAAGGGGGAGAGAAGAGTGAAGAGGGAAGGGAGCGCGTGGACAATCCGCTGTGTGTGCGGGGCAAAAGCTCCGACTCTCCTGATCGCATGGGTACCACATTGGGATGAACACTGCCCACGCACAGCTCCCCGACAACCTCCCCCCCTTCCACCCCAACACCCTCCTCTCCTCACCCCCCCAACACCCCCTCTCCCCGTCCTCCCCCTCCCGCCTTCCCCCGGCCAGCCACCGTCTCTGCTCACTCCACCCATCACTGCGCGTCCGCCCTCTCACCTACCCAGCTGATGTCAGCAGCTGCATGCCCTCGCCCGCCACGCACTGCGCGCAATCCACGGCGACTCCGCCGCCGCCCGTGCCGCCGCCGTCGCTGTCGCAGTCGGGCGGGCGCGGCTGCCCCGCCTGCTGCCACGCGGCGTCGGTGGCGAGCTGGTTGAGGAGCAGCGGGAAGAACACGGGTAACGCGACCGAGTAAAACGCGGATACCGCCGCGTCGTACAGATACCACCCCCACTCCTCGCGCCGCGTCACGGGCTCTGGAGTAGCAGCAGTAGCCGCCGCGGCGTCGCCGGCCATTCGGTCGTCCGTCGCCCCGAGATGCGGCGGCGATGGCGTCGTTTGCATGATTCTCGGCGTCGCGACGATTGTGCGTGAGTGAGATTGGCTCAGGGTGTCCCTCGGCCGCAGCTCCACGAAGCGTGCTAGAGTCCACTCAAGCCACGCAGCGATGGCGTCCCCGTGATTTGCTCAGGGTGCCGCCTTTGAGTCGCAGGGCCTCAAAAGCGGCGCAGCGTGCTGCGGAATGCGAGTCGTCGCCGGTCGCCGCGGCGACTCGAGAGCGAACCTCCTACTGAGGAAGAGAGGCTAAATTGACGAGACGATGTCAGCGGGAAGGAGTATGGCGCGGAGTGGCGAGGAAGGGTCTGGCTTCTTCTGACGCCTCATGTTCAGCGCGCGCCTGGCCGAGGGTGAATGGACGTCAAACTTGGAATGACCTTCGCGATCGTAGCCTGTACACTCGTGACGCACATGCGTGATTCGAGGCTCGAACATTTACAATGAGCCATAGCAGGCCGGCTGGCGTGGGGACAATTGGCGGCCTGAACCTGACAGCGGGCAGAAGGCGGACGAGTGGAGGGGTGGTTGGGAGCGGTGAGGAGAGGTTGGAAGGTGAAAAAAGGGAGGCAAGGGGAGCGGAGGGGAGGAGAGGGGAGGTGGTTGCGCGGCAAACAGGGGGGAAGAAGGGGCCCCCGCGTTATCGCGAGAGAGCGGAGCAGCAGACTGGGGGAGAAACGTTGCTGGCGGCAGGCAGGCAAGCGAAGCACTGGGGTGGGGATGGGTGTGGCGGTGCTCTTGGGGCAATGCAAGCTCACAACACAACGCCTGTGGTGGGCCACTAATTGTCGCTCACTGCTTGTGGGGTGGTGTGGGGTGGTGTGGGGTGGTGTGGGGTGGGGTGGGGTGACTGTCCAGCAGCGATCGTTCACCAATCACCGACCAGCAGCAGTCTGCGTCAGTTCCCTGAAGGGGCGTTCCAACCAAGCAAATCTGCGATGCGACAACTGTAGGTCTTTGCGGCGCCAAGCAACAGCAAAGTTGGAAAGACGCGGGAAAATGTGCGATCCGCAAATCACCCCGCATCATAAGGCGTTTCGACCTGGCCCACAATGCATACAGTTCACAAAGCCAGGCCTTAACTTTGTAATATAGCATAAACGTTATGACGTACATTCTAACCATGAGCACAACAATTAGGCCCAACAAGGTCATTGATGGGTCTTATTAGAACCCTAGTAGTTCTTTGGATCTCTTTTGGAAAAAATGAAGTGAAGACTTGTGAAACTTCCGTGCGAACAGAAAGCAATTGCGGGGCTTCCCTTGCAAAACACAAAATCCATTTTCAATCGTCTGCCCAGGGGTTCATAGGAAAAGGGGTTAAGGGAACATCATGACAATTGGGAGGGTGATGACAGGCTCATCATTACATAACCATGAATTGAATGACATGAACACTTGCAGCTGCATAGCTGAGGTAAATGGAACTTACCTTGGGGGGCTGAGGAGCTGACTTGTTTAATATCTGCAAGAAGAAATGAGAGAGGAAGCATAATGTTCACATGTGTCAGGGGAAATCACAAAATTTCCTGAAAAAAATGGCCGGGATGTATATGACAGCAATATAGCAGGGCAATGAGGTGTTGAGCAGAGCGTGCAAACGGCAACAAATGGATCTCAGGGTTTTGGGTTTAGGAGCTCTGTGGAGGGAAGTCAATTGCGAGCACAGAAGCTGCCTCCAGATGCGTTCGGCTCCTCCAATACTAATTGCAATTTCACGCAAGCGTATCTGCTCTCGAATACAAATGGCTCCAATTGCGTACTGCACCCTCGAGTGTACTAGTTGCAACTCACGTGAGTGTAGTTACTCTTTAAGTCCCGCCAGAAGGACCGGAACTGAATGTACTGCTGAGTGGTCTGGATGGGAGAAGTGGGGGTGCAACGTGTGGGGTGGGAGGGAATGGGGGGGGGAGGGGGGAGGTGAATGTGAAGGAGAAGGGGCAAAGAAGTGAGACAAGAGCCCAGATAGAGGAGGCAACATGTGGGGGAACCTTATGATCAGGTCAACAGATAAGGCTGACGAGAGAGTGGGCGGATGAGAGAGTGGGTGCGCGGATGAGAGAGTGGGCGGATGAGAGAGTGGGTGCGCGGATGAGAGAGTGGGTGCGCGGATGAGAGAGTGGGCGGATGAGAGAGTGGGTGCGCTGATGAGAGAGTGGGCGGATGAGAGAGTGGGTGCGCTGATGAGAGAGTGGGCGGATGAGAGAGTGGGTGCGCGGATGAGAGAGTGGGCGGATGCGAGAGTGGGTGCGCGGATGAGAGAGTGGGCGGATGCGAGAGTGGGTGCGCGGATGAGAGAGTGGGTGCGCTGATGAGAGAGTGCGCGGATGAGAGAGTGGGCGGATGAGAGAGTGGGTGGGCGGATGAGAGGGTGTGCACATGTGAGAGCGGGCAGATGGTGGCTTTAAATGCACAGAGGGATTCAGGGAGGGTTGTGCCTTTTGAGGCGCCTCAAAACTGCAGAGAGGGATCCAGGGAGGGATGTGCGGCTAGGGTCTTGGTGGATTGCGAGAGGTGTGGTTCTTTATTGGCTGTATGGTGGACTGGCAGGTACCGCGGATCGCGGGCGCAACTACACAATTCGTCTGTAAATGGAGCTTCATGTACCTGATCATGTTGGCAGTGACACCCTGGTTGTGGTAAAGCATGGGGTGGGTGCTATTCTGCCACACCTTCATAAAAGACGTGCAGCTGTAACTGTGTTGCTCCGTACCTTCATGAGCGTGACCATGTTGGCAGTGAGGTTTTGGCGGTGGTAGAGCATGGGGTGGTACTGGTTGAGCCGCCAGTCCGTGAAGGTGGTGGGGTAATACGAGATGCCGTGGGGGTCCTTCACCTGGGGGCACAGAGGGGGTGATCGGATGGGGCAAAAGGGGAGGGGGGGAGGGTAGGGGAACAGCAGCCGAGGGGCATGAGTCGACTGGCAGTCGGTGAAGGTGGTGGGGTGGTGAGACATGCTGTGGGGGTCTTTCCCCTTGTAAAACAGTGGGGATGCAGGGGAATTGGAAGGGGGAAAGGACGTAGGGGAACAGCATAGGCCCGGCAAGAAATGGTTTGACTGCCAGTGAGTGAAGGTGGTGCGGTAGTAAGAGATACCGTGGGGGTCCTTCACCTGGCAGCACATGTCAGGGGATGCAAAAACGGGGCCGGGGGAAGAGGAGAGATTGAACATAGTCACACATAAGCAGCAGTGCTTCGATGTACTCACACTCACATGCAGCAAAGTCTGAATCTAGTCACACTCACATGCAAAGGTTCTCCATATAGTCAGACTTACATGCAGCAGCGTCTGTATGTAGTGCTCGTCGGCACAGCAATACCGCCCCCATTGTATTCGAAACTGCGAGTTTTCAAGTGGGTGGAACGGGGAGGGTAAGGAGCAGCATGCGGGAGTGGTTGGTTCGAGGTGGAGCATGGGTCATTCCATGGCGCCTCAGAGCAGTATTAGCGTGAGACTGATTCCATGTCAGCCCACAGCTCCACACCATGCCATGCCATGCCATGGCCACACCACGCCCTCACCGCATACCACATCACCCCACACCAGCCTCACTGCGCATGTGCAGTTGTGCATGTCATATTGCTCCCAATTGCAGTCACACACAATGACAGCGCTGCAACTAATAACACATGCCATACCATACCACATCATACCACATCATACAACGTCATACCACACCACACCACACCATACCACATCATACAACGTCATACCACACCATACCACATCATACAACGTCATACCACACCATACCACATCATACAACGTCATACCACACCATACCACATCATACCACATCATACAACGTCATACCACACCATACCACATCATACCACATCATACAACGTCATACCAGACCACACCACATCATACCACATCATACAACGTCATACCACACCATACCACATCATACCACATCATACAACGCCATACAACGTCATACCACATCATACCACATCATACCACGTCATACAATGTCATACCACACCACACCACACCACACCGCATCGCACCACCCCTCACCGCGCATGTGCGGTTGTGCGCATCATAGTGGTCCTTGTCCGTCACCACCATCTGCGCGTGGCGCCGCTGCAGGATGAACCACTGTCGGGCAGACGAGCGGGCGGGAGAAGCGGAGAGCAAAGACGAGGGGCAGATGAGGGGGCGGGAGAAGCGGCGTGCACAGAAACACACGTGGGCGGGGGGGGAAGAATGGGGAGGAGTGGAAGGAAAAAGGAGAACACATGGTGCACCAGATGCAACTAGGTGGGCAGATGCAGCTAGAGGGTGGTACGAGTGGCCACTCTGGAGTATGTGCAATTAGGGTTGAGGCTGGAAGACAGACAGACAATGATGCAAGATGCAACTAGAGGCATGACACGACAAGCTGAGGAGTAAGGGGCAAGGAAGGGGGACGATGCAAATGCGAGTATGCAGCAGCAGCAGACAGGCAACACCAAAATGCTTTCAATATGCATAACGAGTTTCCACCTGGTTGCCTTTAACGAAGTCCCGTCTTCTTATAGTGGGCATGTAGATGTGCCACAAGTACCGCTCAAACGACTTGTTGTACGGGTCGCGGTACCTGCGGGGAAGGGGGGGGGGGGGAAGAGGGAGAAAGAGTCGGGAGAAAGGGGGCGGTGGGGGGGAGAGGGGGAAAGAGTGGGGGGGAAAGGGGGCGGTGGGGGGTGTGGTGAATGGGCATGGCAAGGGGCCAACGGAGCGGAATGGATGGGAGTGGTGAGGGGCGCATCAATACACGGCTACCTGATGAACGTGCCGTGGTACCTGTGAGGGGAGCGGAGTGGCTGGGCGTGGAGTGGCAGAAGTGGAATGGAGGTGGAGTGGATGCGGGCTGCCCCACTGCTATCGCCTCATGAGGCGCCTCAAGAGTGGCAAAGAACGGGCACCCCTTTTGAGGCACGTGCGCTCTCGTTAGAGTGCACCCTTTTGAGGCACGTGCGCTCTCTTTAGAGCTTACCCGCCTCTGGCATAAGCTTTCTTGCCCCTTGCACCACGCCCCACGCGCCCTGCATCCTGCACCCTGCTCCACGCACCATGCCCCATGCAACCCCGCGCGCCGTGCCCCGTTCCTCGTGCCCCGTGCCCCGTGCCCCGTGCCCCGTGCCCCGTGACCCATGCCCGGTGCCTCGAATCTCACGGCTCTACTCACGCGTCAACGAAGGAGGAGGAGGTGGAGTTGATGTACGTGGCGATGGTGTCGAAGTCCCACAGGGGGATGCACCTGGGGGGCAGAAGCATAGACGGGCAAGGGCAGACGACGCATGATTTAAGCCGGAGGAGGGGGGCTGGGTATAGATGGCGTCTAGTTTTGAGGCGCCTCAAAACTGGAGGGGGACTGGGTGTAGATGGCAACGGTGTCATGTTCCACAGGGGGATGCACCTGGGGGCGCAAGGCGTGGAGGAGCAGAGGGGGAGGGTAGAGGGAAAGGGAGAGGGGGCAAGGTTTCAGAATTGCGCATTTCGAAGTGATGCTGTCGGCGTGCTGCTGTTGCGCGTACAGCACGCTGCAGTAAAAAAGTATTGAGGCAAGTATAGAAGCACTCACGCCTCGGACACGAGCACGAAGTGTTGGTTGGTTCGCTCCTTGAGGGCCGCTGTCAGCAGCCGCCGCTCCGCGTCCACCATGGACATCTCGCCCCATGCCACCTGCACGCCGCGCAGTAAGTGAAGAGAATGGTTTCACTAACATGGTAACACGGTAACTGGTTAAGCCGCCGCTCCCAATCCACCATGGACATCTCGCCCCACGCCACCTGCACGTTGAGCATTACTATGCTTGCAAGGTAACATAGTTACAAACTTAGCCGCCGCCCCGCGAACAGCATGGACGTCTCGTCCCATCCCATCGTACCAGCCATGCACAATAAGGTTCTATAATAGCGTATTCGGTAAATACAGTTATCGAATGAGCCTTATCCGCGTACACCATAGACAGCTCACCCCATGGCAGCCGCCGTACACAGCAACAGTCATCACCGCTTGTCACATGCCTTCCTGATTATTATGCCTCGCGGCTGACTACATTAACCCCCCGATATAATATTTCAACATTGCGCCGCAAGTGACAACACTTGAATTTTTGTAACACGACATCCCCTGAGATGCAGGTTCGCTAGAAATCTCGACTCGCATGGCTCGGCGGCGAATCGCGTGGGCGACAATTTCCACGTGTGAAACGCCTAAAAATCTCTGTGCCCCGCAACACACTCAATTGGGAGGAAGTCTCCGTGCCCCCGCGCTCACCTTGCCGCTGCGGATGATGCGGTCGCGGAAGAGCGCGGAGAAGTTGCGGGGGAAGCGGAAGGAGAGGTCCGCCGCGTGGACGTAGATGGAGAAGCGCCCCTCGTGGCCCTTGGGGGGGATTGGGGAGGACGGGAGCGAGTAAGCGGAGGGGAGGAGATGAGTTGGGGGAGTGGGGGAAGGAGACGCCCGCCGCATGAATTTAGATGGTGAAGCGCCCCTCGTGGGCTTGGGGGGGGGGGGAGGGAGGGAGGGGGGAAGAGAGAGCGGGGACGGGAGTGGAGAGGAGCGGGGGAAAGAGGAAGGAGAGGTCCGCCGCGCGGATGTAGATGGAGTAGCGCCCCTCGTGGCACGGGGGAGGGGGAGAAGGGTTAGGGATGGGGGGGGGAAGAGAAGGCGGATGGGGAAAAGAGGGAGAGGGAGAGCTTTAGTGGAATGTGGATAAGGTACCATCTCCATTGAACCTGGGGGGAGAGAGAAGACCGCATGAGACGCGACTTGGAGTAGCTGTTTCGGTTCATAATTCTCGAAAAACAGTTACACCGAAAGAAGAGCGCATGTGGCGGAGAGCGAGAGAAGGAAGATACGGACTTTCGCGGGAGTCCACATCAGCGGAATTGGTTCTAACGACTCTTCCGACCGTGCCATGATATGAGCTAGCAGAAGTGCGCTGCGCGAAGATGTAGCGCGCGGAAATGAAGTGCGCGGAAATGAAGTGCGCGGAAGCGAAGCACGCGGAAGTGAAGCGCGCGGAAATGAAGTGCGCGGAAATGAAGTGCGCGGAAGCGAAGCGCGCGGAAATGAAGTGCGCTGAAATGAAGTGCGCGGAAATGAAGTGCGCGGAAGTGAGGCATGCGGAAATGTAGCGCGCGGAAACGAAACAAGCGGAGTTGAAGCGCGCAGGTTAGCGTGAACGACAGGACGCATCGCGGCGACTTCAAGCGTCGCTCTGAACTCCTATGCCACCCTAAGAAAGTTCACTTCATACATCCCCTAGTGACCGTGCCTCCCCGATAGGGAGTCACTGGATTTTGTTGCACAAGAGAGCGTCGCACGGGAACCTGTCGCACTAGAATGCGTCGCACTGAAACCTGTCGCACCGAAGCGTCCCACTAGTATGTGTCCCACTGAAGCTTGTCACACTAGAATGCGTCGCAATGAAGCCAGTCGCATTAGTAATGTGTCGCACTAGAATGTGTCGCACAGAAGCCTGTCGCACTAGAACGTATCGCACTGAAGCCTGTCGCCCTACAATTTGTCGCACTAAAATCCTCTAACTGCAACTGCCCTCAACACCTGATACGCCGCACCCGCGCACCCGCGGACCCGCGCACCGTTAGCACCCACACCCTGTGCCTCTTTGCCACGCGCACCGCCACACCTTGAAGAATCTCTCCCACAGGGGCGCGAGCGGCAGAGGGCCACGTGTCATGAACAGGAACGCGATCCTTCCGGGTTGTTTCCTCCTCCACCCCCGCTGTTGCTGCTGCTGCTGCAGCTGTTGCTGCTGCTGCGTGGATGCGTGTTCGCCCTGCTGTTTCGGCAGCGGTTGCTTCTTCCGACCATACTCGACCATCACGTTCCCTAAATAAGACGCGCCGGCCTTCTCGGGACCTTCTAAATCCGTTGCTTTATCAAGGAAAGTCACTAACGGGGACACGCTAGACGCGATAAAGGCATAGTTGAAGAAGAATACGACGAGGAGCATGGCGGAAAGCACGATGAGCGACACGAACGCCCGGAGGGGACGGCTGGGAGACGACGCCTTTGCGAGAGATCCACATGAGAGCGTTATCGCATGTAAGGCTTGAGTTGACGACCGCGTCGCGTCGGTCTTAGGCGAGGGAACGACGAGAAGCGGTTCTAGGTTCCCCATTGTGTCGAACTGACGCGATCCGGAGTGCTAAAATGTCCACTGTTTCAAACGTGTGAAGACGATATTATTATCACACGTTTTTTATTTAGTAGAAACGCGGTTTTTATTTAGTAGAAAAGCTACTTCTCACGACGCCAAATTTAGTCGTTGGCAGAGAGGCTACTTCCGCTCCGCTCCCTAAATCCTGACCTTATTCCTACATGCCGATTGCTGATCCTCATGCTCTAACTACCGACGCGGCTAGAGGACTAACCCAGGGAATGCCGAACGACAGCTCTAGGGCGACATGACGTGGAGCCACAGAAAGGCCTGGCGACATCTCGACACCTTCTATGGTACAGGCCACACCAGGAAACCAGGAGAGAGAGAGTGAAACTACTGGTGGTTGCATGGGGAGTGTGCGGCGAATGGCAAGGCAGCCTTCAAAAGAGGGGTGATAAGGATCGGTTGATAGGGAATGTGTGTTTGTTGTAGCGCTGAGCTACAGTACGAGCTGCTAGGGCAAGCGACGTAGTGTTTGAGTCAGCCTCGTCAGCAGCATCAGCGGCGGCTCTAGCGGCTGAAAGAACAATGAAGAACGCTGGTAGGAGGTTGTGCAAGCACAGCACGGCACAGCGTAGCATCCCCCTCACCCACGTTCGGCTTGGCTCAGCTCGGCTCACTCTTCTTTCCGTCCCGCGGCGCCACGGCTAGATCTGGTGAGAGGAGAAAATCACGGGCTGGGATGAGCAGCACGAGGCACAGGCACACGGAACGGAACGCAGGAGCAGCTGGGACAATGGCGGCAGGGAGGGAGACGGGGAATCGGGATTCAGGAATGCTGATAAGGACAGCAGATTGTGTGGGATGGAACCCTCCAGATTCAATTGACGCGACCCGCTCGGAGCGTGATGTGAATTGACGAACTGTGGTGTGACTCGTGTGCGTGCTCGCCAGTTCTCGGCGAAGCGCGTTTCGTTCTGACAGCCGCTGCGAAAGGCTAGACGGCCACACGGATTGGCCGACGAGAGCGTGTCGTCAAGGTGCGACGTGCTCAAGGAGAACGTTCCGCCGCTCCACCAGACCAAACCGGCGCCAACAGGCCAGACATCGCATGGGCAATGGGCTACCCTCCACTTCAAGTGGAATTTCACAATTTGACGAGATAAATGAAATTGGAGTGCAGTGCTCACATATGCCTAAGACACTCAGTTCATCATTTGACTCACAAGTAATATTGCATGTCATCACTACCTACATGTGGCCATCATTTGGATATAAATTGGACTGATGTGACTTGATTTAATTAAGGTTGTAAGTGTCCAACTATGCACTACTCTAGCCGTTTCCAATATACAACAGCATCAATACGAAGGATGCAACTACATCAGCATCAAAGAAGCAACACCGTCATTGTTACGTCTCCTTGACGCTACGATGGCTTGCAAAGGATAGGTAGACGTTCCACAGCAATGCTATGACATTGGAAGCTGCGACCTGCATGGCATTGACCAGGGGATCACCACATTAGCCCTCACCAGGGAAGCTTTCGTAGGCTATGCTGAGACGCTTCAACCTGTGCACGCTTTGATTGAAAAAACCAGGTTTTAAGTATCCAAAAAGACAGCCATAGTAGCTGAGGATGAGGATCCGCAGGGAAAGGTGCTGAGTGCATTGCAAGGGGGGAAGTGGCAAGTGCTTAGTGCAAGGGCAGTGGCAGAGGAAAGTGCCTAGTGGCTTGGTTACAGTAAGTGCACACCTGACGGTGTAGCGGGACGTGGAAAGTGCTTAGTGCGTTGCGTTGGTAAGAAGATACCTGAAGGTGCAGCGGCACGAAGCGGAAGTTGAGGAACTGAAACGGAATCCACACCTTCCAGTTGGCCACCACTGCCTTGGCCCACTCCTGCATGGCAAGACAAGGGCGTGGTGGGAGGCGGAGAGGCAAGGGGATGGTGGGAGGCAGGGAGAGAAACACCACAACCTCCCTGCAGCTTTCCACAACCCTGGGAGAGCCACGCAGCACAAACAGCGCAAGCAGCGCACGACAAGACAAGCACTGACCTGCCTCAGCACTGACCTGCCTCAGCACTGACCTGCCTCAGCACCCACCTGCCTCAGCACTCATCTGCCTCAGCACTCATCTGCTTCAGCACTCACCTGCCTGAGCACTCACCTGCCTGAGCAGTCACCTGCTTCAGCACGTCAGGAATGGCGGAGGGGCTGCCGTGAAGGGGTGTGTTCTGAGTGGGATTACGTTGCAACGCGTTCCTAAAGACCGACGTCTCCAGTAGCACACGGCAGCTGACCCGCTCACCTGCTTGAGCACGTCAGGGATGGCGGAGGGGCGGCCCTCAAGGGTGAGCAGGCTGGAGAAGAAGACAGCGATGAAGAGCGGCGAGAAGAGCAGCTGGGGGGGGAGGGGAGGCGGGGATACGCAGACATGAGATTAGACAGGGGGGCGCAGGGCATAGCGGAAAGTGGGGGGTGCGAAGTACGAAATGAGGGGAGTGGAAGGAGATACATGATGGGTGAGAAGGCTGGAGAAGGAGCGGATTATGAGGCTGGGGGGAGGCCCAGCTGATGGCATGGGAGGGGAGCGAGAGGGGAGGAGATGCATTACAAGCCAGCAGGAAGAGTGAGGGAGCTACCTAATACAAGGACATATTGAGGAGAGGGTAAAGAAGAAGAGCGTAAGAGTGGGAGTAGGGCAAGTGAGAGAGGTGGTGAGACAAGGCAGGGGGGAGGGAGGGAAGAAGCATGGCAGGGCCTGAGAAGGTGGGAGTGTCTGACCTGGTCTAGAGCGAGGCGAATGAGAGTGCCGCCTGTGCCCTGCATTGCCACCATGCGAAACAGCAGCGAGTACCTTCATGCCGATAGCATGCCGATAGCATGCCATTACCATGCCATGCGCGGGAGAGCGCCATGCATGCCATGTCATGCAAGGGAGAACGCCATGTCATGCCATGTCATGCAAGGGAGAGCGCCATGCCATGCAATGCCATGCCATGCCATGCCATGCAAGGGAGAGCGCCATGTTATGCCATGTCATGCAAGGGAGAGCGCCATGCCATGCAATGCCATGCCATGCCATGCCATGCCAGGGAGAGTGCAGCAACAGGGTGCATTTCAGGGCGGTGAACGGGAAGCGGATCCAGGCAGTAAGCCTTTTAGGTGATGGCGTATGTGGATATGGATGGAGGCAACTCAAACCAGCATAGTTTTGAGGCGCCTCAAAACTAGACTCCTTTTAGGTGATGGCGTATGTGGATATGGATGCAGGCAACTCAAACCAGCATAGTTTTGAGGCGCCTCAAAACTAGACTCCTTTTATGTGATGGCGTATGTGGATATGGATGGAGGCAACTCAAACCAGCATAGTTTTGAGGCGCCTCAAAACTAGACTCCTTTTAGGTGATGGCGTATGTGGATATGGATGGAGGCAACTCAAACCAGCATAGTTTTGAGGCGCCTCAAAACTAGACTCCTTTTATGTGATGGCGTATGTGGATATGGATGGAGGCAACTCATACCAGCATAGTTTTGAGGCGCCTCAAAACTAGACTCCTTTTAGGTGATGGCGTATGTGGATATGGATGCAGGCAACTCAAACCAGCATAGTTTTGAGGCGCCTCAAAACTAGACTCCTTTTATGTGATGGCGTATGTGGATAAGGATGCAGGCAACTCAAACCAGCATAGTTTTGAGGCGCCTCAAAACTAGACCCCTTTTATGTGATGGCGTATGTGGATATGGATGGAGGCAACTCAAACCAGCATGGCCGGATGCATGGCATCAAGAGGGAATAGCAGCCATAGGTCCATAGGTCACATAGGCCGACCACGGGACACAGCCATGAACCACCGAAAGGAGAAGGTGGGCAGAAAGGGTGCTGCACCATCTGGGAGGGACAGGTGGAGGTGTTGCCAGGGACAGGGTTATCATGATAACAGTTACCAATAGTATGTGGTTACCAGTATTTGGTTACCAGCAACACATGGTTACTGATAGTACATGATTCTGGTTACCAGCAGTGAAGTGTGTGGTTATCAGCTGTACTCACCAGTACCACTGTGGTTACCAGCATAGGGTGGTTACCAGACGTGCAGTGTGGGTCCCACAAGCAGCAGCCCCAGCAGTGAGATGGTGGCCGCTCTCCTCACATCCACCTTAGTAGAGCCCTCCACCACCAACTGTTGCATGCCACAGAACCGCACAGCACCGCACAGCAGAACACACCATGGCACAACGCATTTCGTTAACACAGAACATTGTGTTGACTGGAAGAGCACACGACAGCTCTGCTGCTGCTAGTGAAGGAGTGCAGTGCGGTGCCCTGGAAAAATGAATGTGGCAAGCATCGTGGCCCATGGAACGCCCAAGATATACTACATCGATGTCGTAGAAGATACTGTCCCCCACACAACACCCAGCATTAGCGCCAGCCCTTGCCCCTCCCGAGCCTCACATACTCCTCGGCAGAAGTGCCCCCTTGGCCCTGCCAGGCCTTCGTCCCTGGCAAACGAGGTCCCCTAAGCCCCCCTTCCCCTCACCTGGCAGAGAATACTCGCCACCCTGCCGTGTCAGTTTTTTTAGGATTCTGAAGTAACTTACCCACCCCGACCCAGCCCCCCCTGGCAGAGGGGTCAACTCAAGCGGCTTCGGGACAACTCAAGTGGATATTTCAAACTTAACTCCCCCCCCCCCCCCCCCGGGCAGAGAAGACTTGCTATCCCTCCCGCCGTACCCCCCCCTGGCAGAAGAGGTCTCTCAGGGGCAGAGGAGGCCAATGTGAGAATGAGCAGCATGCAGGTGGCTGTGGCGTTTTCAGCCCATTCCCACCCCCCACACACCATCGAACCCCCTCCACACACCTTCTAGTCCCCACCCAGCCTGGCAGAAGAGCCCCTTGTAGCCCCCCCACCTGGCAGAAGAGCCCCTTGTAGCCCCCCCACCTGGCAGAAGAGCCCCTTGTAGCCCCCCCACCTGGCAGAAGAGCCCCTTGTAGCTCCCCCACCTGGCAGAAGAGCCCCTTGTAGCCCCCCCACCTGGCAGAAGAGGTCGCCCAGCAGGTTGAGCAGCATGGACGTGCCGGCCTTCACTGCCAGCGGGTGGCGGTCCAGCAGGTGCAGGTAGCTGCGGGGGGGACAAGGGGTGGGGTGAGGCGCTCATGCTAGAGGTGGTGTCGTGCTGCAGTGCAGCCGTTGGCTCTCAGGGGGTTGCAGACCAGCAGGTGCAGGTAGCTGCGGGCATGCAACGAAGGTAGCGAGGAGGAGGGAAGCCTCAGGGTTTTGAGGCGCCTCAAAACTAGCCTCAGGGTTTTTGAGGCGCCTCAAACGAGGAGGAGGGAACCGGAAAGGGAAGCTGAGACGAGTGGCCCATGGAGGGGTGACGTCGTGCCGGCCTGCGCTGCCAGGGGATGCATAAGCCGGGCGGCACCACGGGGAAAAGGCTGGCTCTAAGAGATTGCAGGCCAGTAGGTGCAGCCTGCAGGTAGCTGTGGGAGAGAAGGAGAGAGGTGTCAGGGGAGAACGGTGCAATTTGAGTCGACGACTTATGAGTCAACGGTGAAATGGCCTCAAGGTGACTTTCGAGTCGACTCAAAGTCACCTATGGTCTCATGGGTGCATGGGGGGGGTAGGGAGGCGAGGGGCACTGGGGGGGCTGAGGAGGTGGCTTGTAATGCCTTGACGGAGGCTGTAGAGACCACTTAAATGACTCATGAGCCCGCATCAGAGGAACATGGGAGAAGAGAAAGTGAATGGAGTGCAATGGTGATGGGACCACTCCTCACAGGAGCTAGTAGCTACCGAGGGAAGACGCGTCCAAAGTGACAACGACGGGGTAAAGTAAACATTTTTGTAAGCATCCTCTTCTTGCTGCGTCAAGAAGACGCATGCAAGATCACACAACGTTCTGTACCTTGCTTCATTGCGCCACACCGCACTCACATGCTCCATATCGCACCCAGGCCTGACGCTTTATTATCTCCTCCCCCTCCCCCTCCCCCTCCCCCTCCTCCTCCTGCTCCACCTCCGTCTTTCCCGCCGCCGAAGTCACCTCCCCCACTCCCCCCTCCCCCTCCGCCTCCTGTCTCTGTATTCTCTGCTCGCACTAGAATCGTCCTGCGCCGCTCTCCACCGCTCAAGGCTACTTCTTGAGAGTTACTGGAAGCAAATGCGCCGAGGCTAGGCGCCCCCGCAATCCCCGCGATCACCGCGCTCTGCGCCGTCTCTGGCGCTGCCTTGAGGCTTCGCCCCGCTCCCAGCGGCATCTGCCGTCCGTCCGCGTGCGCATGGACGGCTGCGATCGCAGCACGGGCCGGCAGTGATCGGCGCGCAGGGGCGGCAGAGAAGCAGCGACGAGGCGGGCGGCAGCACGCGGCAGCGCGGATAGCGCTTCCCGTTCTAATGGCGGTGGATACGGGTATCGCGGCTGGTGCGGCGGCATTGACGGCAGTGGGTGTGCGAATGGTGGCGCGTGCGGTCATGCTGGTTGGTGCAGTCATTGCGGAGGGTGTTAGCGCGGAGCTGATCGCCAGTAGTGGCACCAAGAGGGAGGGGCGGCAGGGAGGCGAAGTGCGAAGTGGGGAGAGAGAGGTGGAAAGAGAGGAGAAAGGAGGAGGATATGTGACAAGGAAAGGACAAACAGGCCTGTTTTTCTAGGGAATGTGATAGAACGGAGGAAAGGGACGAGCTGCTGTGGGAGCGACCCGGGGAATGATGCGTGGCGCAAGGGACGGAAGAAGCCAGCTGTCAGTAGGACCAGGGAGAATGCTCCATATTGTGGAGCGCAGTTACCCAGTTACGAATAATCTTCGGTTCAAAATATAAACTATGACATATGTCCATTACTTTAGCTCACAACTTGCACCATGTCAACCAGAACACATCAATACATTTTATGCAAATGAGATCGAGATGTTTGCATATGTACATTTTCATATCTCATTTCCCGTGCAAATGTCATTTTATTCATATAGACAACCTGATACCTTACGTCGCCCTCACTGCCTGATCCAGTCAGCATCCAAGGACATGCCCTTCCCTCATTGATCAAAGCCAGCATAAACGGTGGGTTGAGTTGAGCGCACAGCTGCCATGCACCAGCAGCAGCAGCACACCCCACCGGCTGGCTGGTGCTGCAGGCAGGCAGCCAATGGCATGTTATTCATATGTACAGCTTGATATCTTACTGCGCACACACTGCCCTATTTGATCAGCACCAGACATGCCCTCCCCTGGTTGATTAAACCCAGCATACACGGTGGGTTGAATGCACAGCTGCCACGCAGCAGCAGCACAACCTGCCGGCTGGTGCTGTAGGCAGTCAGCCCAGGGGAACTTGGTGGGGCCCAGGTCAAGGTCGTGCAGGCGGGTTGAGAAGCCATGGGCGTTGTTGTCCGCACACAGGCGCTGGGTGGGAGGGGGGGGAGGGCGAGGAGGGAAGAGGAAGAGGTAGGCGTTACGAGCCTAGGTCAGGGTCACATAAGCACATGGAGAAGCCATGAGCGTTATTGCCCGCACACAGACGCTATGTGGGTGGCAGCTTCTGACCTGAAATGGAGCAAACTGAGTGTGGTTTAACTACACCTTGGGAAAGTGATGCAACTGCCAGTTACGTACGTATGTATGAGAGAGACTTGAATGGCACTGGCTGTTGGCTGTACCTGAGGGAACTGGATGCCATTGACTCGGCCTGCAGCGGTGCCCCACGCTGACGTGTACTCTGCCACAAACACCGCCTTGTTGGCCTGGGGAGGGGCAGGGGGGGGGGGGGGGGGGGGGGGGTATTTTAGGGGACCCGAAAGCTAACAATGAGGTGTGCTCCGTGACATACAGAGTGCCTTGTTGGCCTGCCTGGAGGGCGGTGGGAGTGGGAGTGGGCCTATGGAAGTGGTTAGCACATTGAGAGCAGATGAGACAGAGGCGGTGGGAGTGGGAGTGGGCCTATGGAAGTGGTTTGCACATTGAGAGCAGACGAGACAGTGGCAGTGAGAGTGGGAGTGGGCCTATGGAAGTGGTTTGCACATTGAGAGCAGACGAGACAGAGGCGGTGGGAGTGTTGCACGAGAGGGAGGCGACACAGAAAGAGACAACACTCCCATGCAAGGGAGGCGACACAGAAAGAGACAACACTCCCATGCAAGGGAGGCGACACAGAAAGAGACAGCACTCCCATGCAAGGGAGGCGACACAGAAAGAGACGAGGAAGCATGGGCGGATGCCGAACGTCTTGAGAAGGCCCAGCTATCCTCCCACCCACCTTGACACAATGTTGCCTAACTCGTACCCACTGCATACTTCCCTCTCCCAATCCTGCCCCCCTTCCCCTCTCACCTTGATAAACACGTTGACATAGTCGCACTCGTACTTGCCCTTGTACCACCCGCCGCTGCTCCAGTCGCTGAACGCGTTGCACTCCTCCACCAGCGCCCAGTCGTACTTGGACACCAGCGCTGCTGCAATGGTTAGCGCGTTCTTGAGCCCCACGCTCATGCCGTGCCTGGTGGGGTGTGAGTGGCACGGGGGCGAGGAGGGGACAGGCAGGCGCTGAGCGCGTTGCACTCCTCCACCAGCGCCCAGTCGAACTTCGACATCAGCGCCGCAGCGATGGTGAGTTGTTCTTGAGGCCCAAGCTCATGCCGTGCCTGCTGGAGAGGCGTCACGTGGGAATAGGCAGGGGGGTTGCCTCCAGCTGTTACTGCTTCAGTGGCTACAGCGCTCTTGAGCCTCGGCTGTGATAAGCTTTTGAGAATTCTCAAAAGATTATCGCAGCGTTCTTGAGCCTCTCACTCCTGCCATGCCTGATGGGGTGGCATGGGGATGGGATGGGGTACTGGGCCGGGGTGGGAGGGGCAAGGGGACATGGGAATGCCACAGTACCTCACCCTCTCTGTGTTTCCTTGTACACACTCGATCACCACACCCGATGCACTCACCACACCCGATGCACTCACCGAAAGTTGCAGCGAAGCTGAGCCGCTACAATGTTGCCGAGAGATGACTGGACACACCATAACACCACTCAACCTGGGGACACTCTTGAGTCGACTCAAAAGCATGACTGGACACACCGTAACACCACTCAACCTGGGGACACTCTTGAGTCGACTCAAAAGCATGACTGGACACACCGTAACGCCACTCAACCTGGGGACACTCACTCCCGCACAGTGTCAGCAATCCAAACTTTGTATCTGATCAGATCTGATCCTCCACAGATCGCCAATAGATAGGCACTGGGGTAGCACTCAACTCAGCACACGCATGTGTGCACAGTGCCAGCGATCGAAGTGTTGTATCTCATCTAGTCCTACACAGAGCTCATGATTTCTGTACAGTACCGAATCACTCTATAGCACACTCACTTGTGCACGGTGTCAGCGATCCAGGAGTTGTATCTGATCTGGTCCTTCTTGGTGATGCGCACGCTCCTGGTGAAGGGCAGCAGCCACTTGTTGAGGCGGTTGCTGTAGGCGTCGATGTTGTCGGGCTCGATGCCATCACACCCCTTGCTGGCTGCTAGCTGGGGACACAAAGAGGGGAAGATGCAGGGGCGGAATGAAGAAAGGTGGAGGGGAGAAGTGAGAAAGGTGGTGATGAGGGGATCTTGAGGAGGTTGCTGTAGGCGTCGATGTTATCGGGCTCAATGCCGTCACACCCCTTGCTGGCCGCCAGCTGGAGGAGTCACAGGGAGGGGCGGAATGAGAAAAGGTGGCAGGGGAATTCTATAAAGGCGGTGGCGAGAGGAATGCGGAGGCGGTTGCGGTATGTTGTCCGGCTGAATGCCATCACACCCTTTGGGGGCTGCCAGCTGGGGCGAGAAAGGAGTGGAGGAGCAGACGAGCGGAGTGAGGAATGGGAATGGGGGTGTCGACGATCGAAAGGTGCCAGCTGGGATCTTTGCTGAAGATCTTTGAGCCGCCTCAAAGCTCGTCAACCCGTTGCGGGCTGCCAGCTGGGATTTCAGAGATTCACGGAAAAGGGAATGAGGTGCGACAGGTAGTAAGGAAGGCGGACACAGGAGGTATGGCACGAAGTCATAATGCGTATCGTAAGGAGGAGGATCTGGAAGAAGTCGAGGATGGAGAGAGGAGATGGTGCAATGGGCATTGTATGGCGCAATGCTCTGCTCTGCCGGGTGAGGTTCTGTGTTGTGTGCTGCTAGTGTGCTAGAGGTCACATCATTCAGACACGCACATAGATGCACACACGTCAACAAACAGTAGCAAATATCAGCGAACTCTCTGTCTATGTGTCTTTAGGGGGAGGAAGGGTGACGAAGTATCTGGTGAAAACTGAGTTGAGATCATTCGGAGACCCAACCCAACACGCACGGCACGACCACAGCACACCTCCCTTTTGGACAGCCTCTCAGTCGTATTGTAAGGGCAGGTGATGGATAGAAAGACATCCCTCCATCCATGTAGCCGCCTACATTCGTATCAGTCACCTCAACTTGGCTGTGCTCCCTTCCGTTACAACACATTGCCTGCACACAGTTACCTCCACGCATCTCTCATTGCAACAATCACCTGCATCCATTTCTCATTACAGTCACATGCACCCATTCCTCACTAAGATCACCTGCACGCGTTTCTCCATGATTCGCTTCACCACGGGGTCCTTGACATTCAGCCACCGCTCCCCCGGCCACCACTTGAGGCACCACCGGTCCTGAGGGGGGGCGTGTAATTGGGGGTGAAAGAGGGGGGATGTAGGGTTTAAGAATTAGAGTAGATTTTATAAAAGAGTGCGTGTGAAGCCAAGCACCAGATTTCATGGAAGGGAGACGGAATGCAGACAGCAAGCCACGGCATCCCAGCTTGGCATTTGGCCCTCATAGGCACGCCCGCCCCTTCATCACGTGCTTGGGGAAGCCCTAGGAGTCGGGGCGGTAGCTCTCGAACATGCCGAAGCTGAAGTAAGCAGCACACCACATTCTTGCCTCTCACACCCCGCAAGCACCCCCTTGTAGCCCTCATCAAGTGAAGCATTGCTCTCAGAGACTCTTTTACGGAAGCTCCTGGAATCAGGGCGGTAGCTCTTTCCTGCCTCTCACACAACGCAAGCACCTTTACCCTTTAGGAGACCCTCACCAGGCAGACCCGCCCCTTCTTCACGCGCTTGGGGAAGCTCTTGGAATCGGGGCGGTAGCTCTCATATGTGCCGAAGCTGAAGTAGCACACCACCTTCTTGCCGGCCGCCTGCAGGTAGGCGATCGTGCTGGGCGGCACACTGAAGCCGTCCACGTCATACACGTCCGCCGGGTCGGTGGTGTCAATGGAGCCTGCAGGAAGTGGGGGGGAGGGGTAGGGGGGCGGGGAGCAGAGGGGAGCAGAGGGGAGCAGAGGGGAGCAGAGGGGAGCAGAGGGGAGCAGAGGGGAGCAGAGGGAGCAGAGGGGAGCAGAGGGGAGCAGAGGGGAGCAGAGGGGAGCAGAGGGGCGCAGAGGGGAGCAGAGGGGAGCAGAGGGGAGCAGAGGGGAGCAGAGGGGAGCAGAGGGGAGCAGAGGGGAGCAGAGGGGAGCAGAGGGGAGCAGAGGGGAGCAGAGGGGAGCAGAGGGGAGCAGAGGGGAGCAGAGGGGAGCAGAGGGGAGCAGAGGGGAGCAGAGGGGAGCAGAGGGGAGCAGAGGGGAGCAGAGGGGAGCAGAGGGGAGCAGAGGGGAGCAGAGGGGAGCAGAGGGGAGCAGGTGTTAGTTTTAGAGTTGGAGGGGGGGGAGTTGGCCGTCCACGTCATGCACCTCGGCTGGGTCAGTGGTGTTGATTGAACCTGCGGCGAGCAGCCGACCGGGTGCAAGGAGGGCGGGGAGGTGTGAGAAGCAGGTGAAAGTGTGACGGCTATTATGACGGGAGGCACGCTGAAGCCGTCCCTCTGCTGGAATCATCCCCCTCTGCTGGGTCCGTGGTGTCCACTGATTGACCCTGCCTGGTCAAGGAGAACAGAGGCACGTGAGAGAAAGCTGGAGAGGAGGCAAGGGGGGGGTATGTGGTGTGGAGTACGTGGATCGCCCGTGTGTGCAGGTTGGCAGGAAATTATGCAGAGCCCCGGCGTGCGTGTTAAGTCTTTCGGTCAATTCAATAGAGATTGCGATGACGCACACACACAACACGGACGCTGGACGCACCACATGCCTATGTCTCAGTCGTCAGGGACACACCATGCTGGACGCACCACATGCTGCACGCACCACATGCTGCACGCACCACATGCTGGACGCACCACATGCTGCACGCACACCATGCTGGACGCAGGTGAGTCAGGGAGTCAACACTGTCGTCAGGGACACTCCATGCTGGGCGCACAGCAAATGGGGATTCCTGTCCCAGCAGCGCCCACATAAATCCGCTCTAGGGTTTCAGAGCCACTGACTTGATTCGATATTGCAAGCCCCGTCATTAAGCAGACTCGGCGCGGCCTGCAGTTACACTGTGTCCGCGTCACACCGTTACTCACCGTCGACGTTAGGGTTTGAGTTGGAGAGCTGCCAGTAGAAGGTGGTACCCGGGGTGGGTTGGAACCACGCCCGTGCGTCACGGATATACAGAGCTACTGAAAAGACGAAAAGCAGTACCGCCTTCTGCCACGTGGCGCCCGCCATGCAATCAGGAAACTAGCTGCTTCGAGCAGAAGAAGCGCTCAAGCTGACACGTGGCATTCATTCAGTTCGCAGCTGATACGACCTTCGCGAATAAAATCGCAGAGCATAGATGTGTTACTGTCGTAGTGCAAACGTTGCTAAGTGATAGACGAATAGCGTCACATTGAACCCCAATCTAACCAGACTGGTTTAGGATTTATGACTCCTAAATCGGAATTGGTTCGCAACAACAGATTTTTGTGCGGCCATGAGCAGCGACGTGAAAGAACAGGGTCGATCGAGGCCGTTGATCCTGCACGCCGTATGCTTGACGTTTCAAGAATCGCCCTGGTTATACCGAACCAGCTGCAGCAGGAGTAGCGGTTCCTGGTTCCATTTCCTTCCATGGCAGACAAATGAACATGGTGCCATCGCAACGCCGTTGCTCCCACTCCCCTGTTTACTTCCCCCTTGTCTCGGCTGGTCGGTCATTTTCTCCCAGACTCCGAGTTCGGACGCAAGGCCTCCTGCCTGACTCCCTCGGGTCCCTCCTGAATCCCGATCGACTGTTGCAGGGTGTCGGTGGCGAGGCGAGGAAGCGAAAGTACTGTATTTCGCCCAAAGCAGTTGCGAAGGAGGGAATAAAGCGCTGGTCACCGTTACGAGAACTTTCCCGAAAGTTGAGCGACAGGTAGCGTGGAATGGGCTTGTTGTGACGTGGCCGACCAGAATAGCCGATAAAAGCAGGATCGTTGAACTTCGACGAGATTCACCTGTTTCTAGTGCTTAAACTAGTTTAGTATTAAAAAATACTAGTTCACCCATCCCCAAAAGAAATCCTACACCAATCTTCTCTGCATTGCAGCCAGTGACGATGCACATGTAGGAGCCTCCAGTTTCTCCACTTCCTCGGCTGAGAGGAGTATGGCGCGAGGCAAGGATAAGCGTGCGCGACATGACTCTGCAGGGTCCAGCGAAGGTGCGGCGCGAGCGTCGATCCGCGAGTTTACGATGCGAGTGCGAAGAATATAGTCCGCGCGCTTCACGATATAATCTCGCTTATCGTTCCGTTGGAAACGAGCATAATGTAACACTCCCAAGTCATTACTCTTCCCCCACTTCGCATCATCTTCCTTCTTTCATGTGCTACCTTTTAGCCTAGTTTTGCCGAATTCCTTTCCGTCCTTTCCGTTTTTGTCGCAGATAGTGGTAGCGAGGAGCGTGAACGACGGAAGCACGAGAAGCGACGACGGCGCGAGGACGAGCCGAGGTCGTCGAAAGTTAATGACGCGTTGAGGGAGCCGAAAGGGGAAGGTCGTAGGAGAAAATATGGGCGGGAAGAGAAGGATGATTCAGAGGAGCGAGAGGAGAGAAAGACGGAGAGGAGAGAAATTGGGAGGCGCGAGGAGAGGGAGGGAGAACGGGAGGAACGGGAGGAAAAGAGGGGGGAGCGTGAGGGGAAGGGGGAGGGCAGGGGGAAGAAAGAGGAGAGGCGGAAACGGAAGAAGTCAAAGCGGAGAGAGAGGAGCAGCAGCCCGTCGTCTGATGATGCCACGTCAGCTTCGTCGTCATCGGGCAGTGAGAGTGACGTCAGCAGTAGTGAGGACGAGCGGAGGAGGAGGCGGAAGCGGAAGGAGAGGCGGAAGAAGAAGAAGCTTCTCAAGGAGGCGAAGAAGCTTCTTAAAGGTGAGGCAGGAGGCGTGGCGTGCAGGATTTAGGTGCAAGGGATTTGAGAATGTGGGAAAGACGGATTGCGGATTACAATATGAGTTATGGGGCCTCAAGGAATGCTGACCGGCCATTGGTCCTTACCTCTTGCCGGTTTGCGTTGCTAATGCGTGGCATGTGACATGTTTCAGAGCACAAGAGGAAGGGGAAGGAGCAAGGCCGGGGGGAGGCAGAGACAAGCAAGCGGAAACAGGAGGCGGAGGCGGAGGAGGAGGATTTCACACCCAATCCAGCGGTGCGTGTTGGTTCACCTCAGTGCCGTACTTGCTGCACCTTCACCTGCTCTCTCTTCCCTCCCTGCAATCTCTGCACTCTCTTCCCTCCCTGCTATCTCTGCTCTCTCTTCCCTCCCTGCTATCTCTGCTCTCTCTTCCCTCCCTGCAATCTCTGCACTCTCTTCCCTCCCTGCTATCTCTGCTCTCTCTTCCCTCCTGCTCTCTCTTCCCTCCCTGCTATCTCTGCTCTCTCTTCCCTCCCTGCTATCTCTGCTCTCTCTTCCCTCCCTGCTATCTCTGCTCTCTCTTCCCTCCCTGCTATCTCTGCTCTCTCTTCCCTCCCTGCTATCTCTGCTCTCTCTTCCCTCCCTGCAATTTCAGCACTTTCAGCACTTTCAGCATTCGCAGCACTCGTAGCACTTGCAGCACTCTCAGCACTACTCTCAGCTAGACATGGTTAATGTGCGATGCGATATAATATCGCATCGCACTGGCTGCGATAGCGATTACTATTGCGTGATACTATATCGCATCGCTGCGAAATAAAATTTGGAAACCCAATATCGCATATCGCATTTCAGGTGCGATATATCACAATATCGCATTTGAAAATGCGATACATCGCGCGATGCGATATAATAACGCATCGTGTTTCATCCAGGGCTCCAAAACCCGGATTGCCTCCTAAAAAGAGCATGCGATTTTAAAAATATCGCACGGATATCGCACAGATATTGCACGCGATATTAAATATCTCATGCGATATAAACATATCGCATATCGCAATATATCGCAGGGGAAAACCCGTGATACAAACGCGATATAAAAATATCGCGCGATTTACATCGCATCGCATCGCGCGATATTTTTTCGACATTATATCACGCTATGCGATGCGATATAACCATCTCTACTCTCAGCACTCTCAGCAGCACTCTCAGCACTCACAGCACTCTCAGCACTCTCAGCACTCTCACAGCACTCTCAGCACTCTCAGCACTCTCAGCAGCACTCTCAGCACGCTCAGCACTCTCAGCACTCGCAGCACTCTCAGCACTCTCAGCACTCTCAGCACTCTCACAGCACTCTCAGCACAAACCCTAAACCCTAAAACCCCCTCTTCCCCTATCCCCCCTCCTCCCCCTCTTCCCCCTCTTCCCCCTCCTCCCCCTCTTCCCCCTCTTCTCCCTCTTCCCCCTCTTCCCCCTCTTCCCCCTCTTCCCCCTCTTCCCCCTCCTCCCCCTCCTTCCCCTCTTCCCCCTCTTCCCCCTCTTCCCCCTCTTCCCCCTCTTCCCTCTCCTCCCCCTCCTCCCCCTCCTCCCCCTCTTCGTCCCATGACTCCTCGGGCCGTCCCTCGCTTCCAGGTGCCCCAGATCTCCGACGCCGATTACTTCGCACGCAACCCCGAGTTCTCCACGTGGCTGCTGGAGTCCCGCGGCACCTTCTTCTCCGCGCTCTCCTCGGAGCAGACCCACGCCCTCTTCTCACTCTTCGCGCGCACGTGGAATGCCGGCAAGCTGCCCCCCAAGTTCTATGATGGATCCATCACTGCAGCTGCTGTTCCCCGCTCCAACCACAACTGGGGGCTCAAGGCACGGGTGGGGGGAGCGGGGGGAGCAGGCGGCGTTGGGGAAGGGGGAGGGAGGGGAGGGGTGGGGGAGGGGGGGGATGAGGAGGAGAGCCGGGCAGGGAGGAAGGCGAGGGAGAGGTTAGAGAGGAAGCGGGAGAGGGAGAGGCAGGCGCTGCGGATAGAGGAGATGGTCCCCAGGGAGTCAGGGCGCGAGGGGATGATTGCTGAGAGGATGGCGCGGAGGAGGGAGAGCACGCGGGAGAGAGAGCAGAGCCCCGAGATGGGGATGAGGGAGAAGGATGTGATGGGCGGTGGGGACGACTTCCAAGCCAGGTGAGCGGGGTGGAAGGTCTGTGAAGGCAGATCTCGTGAGGCTAGTATCGGAGCGCGTGGTACGGAGGAGAGAGAGCAGAGGCCCGAGACGGGGATGGGAGAGAAAGGTGTTATGTGGGGGGGGGGCGACTTCCTAGCGAGGTGAGTGGTGGGGGGAAGGAATTCCCAAGCAGGGTGGGGGGGTGACAAGCAATTGCTGTCTTGGCTCGTTGTCATGAAGTCTGCACGTGAGGTCGTGTGGCGCAATGAATGCTTCTGAGTCGACTCAATAGCCAAGTCTGCACGTGAGGTCGTGAGGCTAGTATCTTAGTTAGGAGATAGGTCCATTGGTTGTCGCGGACGAACCTACGTTTTACGACTGTCAAGAGAGATCACGTGAGGCTAGTATCGGAGCATATGGTGCGGAGGAGAGAGAGCAGAGGCCCGAGACGGGGATGGGGGAGAACGGTGTTATGGGGGGTGGGGGGCGACTTCCTAGCGAGGTGAGTGGTGGGGGGGGGGGGAGGAAATCCCAAGCAGGGTGGGGGGGTTACAAGCAATTGTTGTCTTGGCTCGTTGTCACAAAGTCTGCACGTGAGGAGGGCATGTGGAGCACGGAATGAATGCGAAGTGATGGAGCAGGGGGAACAGGAAGCTCTGCTACGTTCTAGCCATTCCCGGCTCGCCTCTCATCATTGACATGTCCTCGTCTCCCACCTCGCATCCTCTTCCCCCCGTCTTTGCCTCCCCCCCTCCCTGTGTCAACCTCCAGGCTAGCACGGGAGAAAGCGCGCAGGGAGCAGAGAGCAGCAGCGAAGGAAGGGGGGTTGCGGGAGAGGGTGGCGAGCTACGAGGAGAGCGAGAGGGGGAAGATGGAGCAGCTCAAAGCCATGATCGCCATGGCTGGAGGGCGAATCACCATTGCCAAACGAGCCGACCCTGCTGTGCCGCCTTAGCATCACCTGGATCTTTGCCGCCAGTATGCCTGTGCCGTGCCAGCATCGCCAAGAGATCAATCTTCTACAGTTTGCCCTCTGAGTGATGGCCCTGGGTAGGGTCTCTAGAGCCGAGTGAGCAGATGCAAGCGGGATGCAAGGTGGTGACTGGGGCAGGTGAGAGAGGTGGAGCAGGAGAGGGAGGAATGAGGGAGGACTGATGGGGGAATGAGGGAGGACTGATGGGGGAATGAGGGGGGGATGAGGGGGGAATGAGGGGGGAATGAGGGGGGAATGAGGGGGGAATGAGGGGGGAATGAGGGGGGAATAAGGGGGAGGAGAAATGAGGGGGAATTAGGGGGGAACGGGGGGGGATGAGGGGGGGATGAGGGAGGAATGACGGTGGATTGGGGTTTATTGGTGGTGTGATGTGAGGGGAGTGCAGGGTACAGCATTGCCCAGCGGACAGGCATGTGTTGAATGTCAACATATATTTGTATATGTTTATAGGCTAGCTAGGTGCATGCCCATAGAGAGTACAACACCTAGCGCAAAACTACCCTGTACCGTCTTTTCTAGTAATTCCGCTGCTCTGAGATGGTATCAGCTGGGTTAGGTCCGCCCACCAACTTCCGCCCTAGCCTACCTCGCCCGCCCTAGCTGCTCTAGCCGCCCTAGCCGCAGTAGATCGTCCTACCCGCGGTAGCTCGCTGGCCCTGCGCTCGCCAGCCCCTCGCTCGCTGGCCCTGCGCCTGCCGGCCCCGCGCTCGCTGGCCCCTAGCTCGTCAGCCCCGCGCTCACCTGCCCGCCCCGCGCTCACCAGCCCCGCGCTCGCTGGCCCCTAGCTCACCGGCCTGCGCTCGCCGGCCCCTAGCTCGCCGACCCCGCGCTCGCCGGCCCTAGCTCGCCGGCCCCGCGCTCGTCGGCATTGCGCCCGCCGGCCCCTAGCTCGCCAACCCCGCGCTCGTCGGCCTCGCGCTCGTCGGCCCTCGTGCTCGCCGACCTAGTGCTCGCCGGCCCCTAGCTCGCCGGCCTCTTGCTCGCCGGCCACTAGCTCGCCGTCTCCTAGCTCGCTGGCCCCTAGTTTGCCGACCCCTAGCTTGCCGGCCCCTCACTAGCCAGCCCCTCGCTCGCTGGCCCCTCGCTCGCCAACCCCTTAGCTTGCCGGCCCCTCGCTCCCAAACCCCAGTTCGCGCCGATCCCGGTCCCGCCGTGTCGCCGTGTCAAACCGTCGTGCGGCTGTGCCGCCGTGACGCCATGCCGCAGTGTCGCCGTGCTGCCGTGCCGCAGTGCCACCGTGTCGCCGTGCCGTCGTGCCGTCGTGTCGCCATGCCACCGTGCTGCAGTGCTGCAGTGCCACCGTATCGCAGTGTCGCCGTGTCGCCGTGCTGCCGTGCCGCAGTGCCGCCGGGTTATCGTGCCGCAGTGCCGCTGGGTCGCCGCGCCGTCGTGTCGCCGTCCGTCGCTGCGACCGTGGTGATGGCGGACGCTGTGCTCCGCCTAGACGCAGAGGGTCAGGCGATCGACTTTGAGGCGTGGCTCGCCGACCTTTGCAGTCAGCTGACGGGTCAGAGCACGGACGGCTATTCCCTGGCCGTCCATGTCGACGGTAAGCTCCCCCGCCCCGACGCGCCTGCTGCCGTCTCTGACGCCCCCACCACTGCTGAGCGTGAAGCCTTTGCCGCTGCTGAGCTTGCGTGTGATGTCTTGGAGTCACGCGACGCCGTAGCGCAGCTTGCTAACTATCACGCCCTCTCCCCGTCTGAACGCCCCCGCTTCACGGCTGTAGCAAATGCGAAGGAGTACTTAGATGCGGTCATTGCGCGCTATTCCACTCCCTCCTTCGCCTCTCTCTGCCGTCTGATCCTGCCCATGCTAGTCTCAGATCTTGCATCCTTCCCCACTGTCGTTGATCTTGCCACTCATCTACGCGTCTTTGAGACTAGCTACCACGCTGCTAGCACAGAGATCCAACTCGCTGCATTCCCTCCTCCCCTCTGCACTACCCTTTACCTCATTGTCACGCGCCTTCCTGACCGCCTCGCCACTGCCCGCGACCACTTCCTAAGTCGGCACCGCGGTGACCTCACCGTTACTGCCTTTGTCACCACCCAGTCTACGATAGACACCCGCCAGCGCACTATCGCTCAGTCTAGCAGTTCTGCGGCAGTCCCTATCTTCGAGGGTTGTGCTCCCTCCCAGTGCACTTACTCTGACGTTTCTGCCGCTCTCGCTGAGACAGCCCCTGCTGCTGAGACTGCCGACGCGGCGGCCTTAGCGCAGCCTCATCAGGATAAGGGTCGTCCCCCCAAGGGGGGGCGTGGCAGAGGGAGGGATGGTGGGGGTGGTGCGAGTGCCGACAATACCGACGAGGGGACCGGGGCTGATCCCCCAGAGCAGCAGCAGCAGCAGTAGCCGCAGCACCAATAGACACAGAAGCAGAAGCAGCAGCGGACGCAGCAGCAGCCATCGGGCCGCCTCCCGCTCAGGTGGCCCAGGGCCTCTGGTGGTGGTGGCCGCGATGGCGGCCCTCGCAGCTCGGCGTCGGGGGCGGCTTCAGCTCTATGGGTTGCCAGTACCAGCTCCTTACTGGCCCCTTTCGTGGCACTGCGTGTGGCTCGTACCTCCATTATCCATGCCAGTGCACCCCATTCTCTGTGGTCGTTTGTTGTACGCTACGCCACTCACTAGCTTAACATATGATACACTCCCAGCAGCCGCAGGTTTCGTCAACCCTCCTCTGGACCGGGTCCCCTGGTGACGCGTCTGCGTTCCACCTCTGGGGCTGCCTTGCTCACGTTCATGCCTATGGCACGGACAAGCTCACTGCCCGCACTCTCCCCTGCGTCTTCCTTGGCTTCCCCCTAAACGCGTTTTACAGGCACCTTTACCACCCCTGTCGCACCGTTTCTTTCACTCATGTGACGTCACTTTTGACGAGTCTCTCATCTTCTACGCCCGCTTTTCTCAACGTGGTCTCCCGGTTATCCCATCCCTGTTCCTTGTCCCCACTCCCCTGGTAGCCCCTGCTCCTCTTCCTCCCCATCCTGCCTCGTCTGGTGTGTCTCACGTCACTCCCCTCCCATCGGTTGTCTAGGTGGAGGAGTCGGCTGACTCCGGGAGCCCTGCGTCTTCGGTTTCGCAGCTTGCCTCTGCCAGGGTGTCTCCTCCTACGTCACCGCAGCAGCAGCCGCCCCGAGGGTCCGCGAGCTCTGGGGGTGTGGGCGTTGATGAGGGTGCTAGTTCTGGGGGTACTGTCATGGCTTGTCCCGGTAGTCTTGGGGGTGGCACCGGTGCTGGAGAGGGTTCTAGTCCTGGGGGTGATGGTTCTGAGGGTGTTAGTCCTGGGCGTACTGTCGTGGCTTGTCCCGGCAGTCCTGCGGGTGGCACCGGTGCTAGAGAGGGTTCTCGTTCTAGGGGTGCTGTCGTGGAGCGTCCCAGAGGTAGCGGTGCTGTAGCTGGAGGTTCTAGCGTCGGTGTGGAGAAGCAACAGCAGTCGCCGCCAGTGTCCACCCTTCGCCTCCCAGGCCTCCCCTCCCCCAATTGCCCGCCTATACCTCCCCTGCCGCCGCCTCCCCCGCCTATCTACCACCCTGTGTTTCCTCCGCCGGACTCGTCCCAGGCGCGTTTCCCCCCTCGTTCTCCTCTTGTCGCTGTCGTCACCGACTTTGCCTCTTTCCAACGCATTGACTATGCCACAGCTTTGGTCTCTGACCCTGCCCGTCCTTCGTTCGTCAGGGGTGCATCTACCCTTGGCAGTGACGTCCTAGAGGACAGGCACTACAAGCTAGCTTTCCTGTCCGAGGTTGCTCCCCATCTCTGCTCCATGTTGCTCGTCCCTGAGGGTGACCCTGGCGCCCTTGACATCCCCACCTCTCGCACTTATGTTGAGGCGACCTTGGGACCCAAGGTCTCTCAGTGGATAGCTGCCATGGATGCGGAGATGGCACCTTGGAGATCCACCGGCACCTACGTCGACGCATTTCCCTTACTTGGGGTGAACGTAGTCGATGACCGGTGGCTCTTCAAGGTGAAGCGTTCTCTTGGAGAGCCGCCGGTGTTCAAAACGCGCTATGTTGCTAGAGGCTTCAGTCAGCGTGAAGGTGTTGACTCCTTCCACACCTTTGCCACGACCCCGAAGCCGACAAGTCTTCGGGCGCTGCTACACATAGCAGCACATCGCGACTACGAGCTGCCCTCCTTTGACTTCTCTACTACGTTCCTTCAGGGCAGTCTGCACAAGCAAATCTACCTGCGCCGTCCACAAGGCTTCACCGGCACCTTTGCCCCTGGGACTGAGTGGCTCCTCCGGCACCCAGTTTACGGCCTGCGGCAGGCGCCCCGTAAGTGGCACGACACGCTGCGTGCTATGTTAGGTGACCTGCAGTTTTTCCCGTCCTCTGCAGACCCTTCGCGCTTCGTTCGTTCAGTTCAGAACCCGTTCTACATCCTGGTCTACTTAGACGACCTGGTCTTCGCTACTGCCGACAGAGATGCACTGGTCTCGGTGAAGGCTGAGCTGCTGAGGAGACACACCTGCACTGACCTAGGAGAGTTGCGCCGCTGCTTGGCCTGCAAATCTCCTGGGACAGAGCAGCGCGCACCATCACTCTCACATAGTCACACTTGGTGCGCAAGGTTCTTCAGAGGTTCGGTCTTCAGTTCTCCTCCGCACAGCCTGCACCTCTGCTAGTAGATCACAGGCTCTCGGCTCCAGTCTCAGAGGAGTCAGTAGAGCCTAGTGGAGCTATGTACCTGATGACTTGCACTCTTCCAGATCTCGCACACCTTGCATCCTGGCTCACTTTGTGGCCACAAGCAGACACCGACCACAACACTGGTCGGCCAGTAAGAGGATTTTGTGTTATCTAGCAAGTACATCGGGCATGGGGCTAGTGCTAGGAGGACGCAAGCCTTTGGTCCTTACAGGGCACATAGACGCTTCGTGGGCGGACGACACTGAGATGCTCAGGTCCTCTCAGGGCTACTGCTTTTGCCTTGGTGCAGGCGCCATCTCATGGAGGTCCACCCGCTAGTTGTCTGTTGCACGGTCTAGCTGTGAGGCTGAGATCTATGCCGGTGCTATGGCAGCACAGGAGCTCCGCTGGCTGGCCTTCTTGCTCACTGACTTAGGTGAGCGGCCTAGTTTTTCCTTGTTCCTTTACGCTGACAACAGGGCATTATCCTCCTGTATCAGGAGTCTCGATTGGAGGGCAGAGGGAAGCACATCCAGCTCCGGTACTTC